TCTGCCAGTCTGGGCTATCAATATAAAGATTTTAATTGGTTTAAAATGGGATTTTAAATTCGGGGTTTTATAAATTGGGCCTATTATTTAATAATTTTAATTATTTTTAAATATTGTCTGTCTTTGTGTTTTTAATTAGGCTGTACACCGCCCTGAGTCCTTCGGGAGAAGGGCGGTATAGAAATAAAATTAATAATAATAATAATAATAATAATAATAATAATAATAATAATAATAATAAAAATAAAAATACTATTTTTGTTTTCCAAGCTTTCTACTTTCCCATGTGCTTAAAAAAAAGAAAGAAAGAAATTGACTACTGCATCATTTTACCAGTCACCTGAGGTAGACATTTAATCGTAGTTCCCAGGTAGCCCAAATAATCTAACATACAAAACCACTTGAAAGGTACATGTATAAATATTAGCATGGTCAACTTCCTATTCATAATTCACTTGATTTGTGTCAGTGGTGGATTGCCCCTGGTTTGGACTGGTTCGCAAGAACCGGTAGTAAAACCGATGGAGGCCCCACCCACCACCCCGGATGTTGTCATCGGTGATCTGTGCATGCGCAAAAGCTTCTGCACATGTGCAGAAGCAAGGCGCGCATTTGAGCGAAGCGAGATCCCATTGCGAACCGGTAGTAAAGGTAAGTAGAACCCACCCCTGATTTGTGTAGCCACTTGTATGACATCTCAGCCTCTGTATGTTGCCCTCATTGGATTGACTCACAAAACAATTATCTTTTTAATTGACATTATTGGTATTTATAACCAATAATGTCATAAGATTCTAACAAATAATTTCAAACTATTTTTGATATATATTTTTTGGAGATGAATGCGGCATTTAGTATTAATATGTCAATTGTTGCCTTAGAAGCAGGGGTGAAATGCTCCCGGTTCGGTCCGGTTTGTCCAAACCAGTAGAAAAAAAGGCTACTGGTTTGCCGAACCAGTAGTAAAAAATGTAAAAAAAAAAACTTCCAACGATCAGGTGAGCGACGTGCGATCGTTGGAACTTTTTTAGCATTTTTTTTACTACCGGTTCTCCGGAACCAGTAGTTAAAAATGCTTTACAAAGTAAAAAAAAAAAAAAAGGTCTGAAGATCACTCATTGCTCAGCTGATCATCGGAACTTTTTTTTAAAAAACTTTTTAGGCTTTTAGGTTTCTCCAGAACCGGTAGTAAAAATGCTTTTAAAAAGACTCCAATGATCACAGCTGTGGCGCGTGATCGTCAGAGCCTTTTTTTAACCTTTTAGGTTGTAAAAAAATGCTTTTAAAAGTAAAAAAAAAAAAGGCTCTGAAGATTACGTGCCACAGCTGATCACACACACACACCCCTGCATGCTGTTCTATTTACCCCATGCCTCCTTTTCGTGTGCATTGCACATGTACCTCACATTTGGTGCGTGGCGGGCACTGTGCATGCTTGTGCAGTGTGCGTTTGGCACGCAGCACGCATGCGCAGCCAGCGAATTGGTAGTAAATCAGTTCAGATTTCACCACTGCTTAGAAGGCACGTTATTCATAACACATGCTACACAAAATCATTACTTAGCAATCATTATTTAAATGTTATGCTATCATTTATTAAAATTACTTTTATAACCCACCTTGGATTTTTAACCACTAGAGTAGGTAGACTTTAACCTTCAATTCATCGTTAAAAAATAGGAAGTGTCATTAAAATAGAGTGAGTCATACATTCCACCTTTTTAAACTGGTTTAATGTATGATATATTTCAAGCTCTATTTAACTTTCGGTATTATGAATAATGGCAATTTAAAAAAAAAAAACAATTGCTTTTCATTGGCATCTTTCCATGGCCATTCCAAAGCACTTTAGATTTTCCTCAATACACTTCTTGTAGCTTCAGGAGGTTTTCAAAATGACACAGACTCATGAATGAAGAAAAATGAGAAGGGATTTTGCCCACCAACATCATGTGACAAATTCCTAATTTTTAGTATGGCATAGTAGTGACTCCTAAAACATCTAACAAACTGACCACAAATGGACTGGCCTGAATAAATATTTCCACACCCCTAATCTCTCCAATATGATGCCATTTCTATAACGGCATAAACAGTGAAATAGATTAGATATTAATAACTGCATTAAGGATATTTAGGAATGTAAGTTACAGTAAATAGATTTGTAGCTTGAATAGACCCAGGACCAGAAATGGAACATTTTCTTTGATTGGGCAAAGCGACAATCTTTCCAAAGAGGCTGGTTGTCATTCAAAAAACAAACAAACAAACACAGATTAGCGCTTAAACAACCTCACAATCCAGAAAAGGGCACAGTTTTCCCAAAGTTGTACAAAGGCTCTTTTGGCTGCCACTGTCACTTGTTCTTTGAGCAGAAGTTGTGTATCTAGGAGAATCCCCAAATTGAACACGGGCCCTGTCTGAGGTAATACTTCTCCATTCAAAGATGATATCCCCCAAGGCTCCATTTACAGTCAATCCATCTTCAGGCACTGTGAAATGGCGATCAGATACATGAAAGTATGCGGTGCATGTAATGTCCCTATAGCAATTCCAGTCCCTCATGTACCGAGAGAGTCCAACTGATGATTTGAAATGATCATGTCAACTCTTCAATAACTACAGATCATCCTCGACTTACAACACTTTGTTTAGTGACAGTCTGAAGTCACAATGGCACTAAAAAAAATGACTTATGTCCGTTTTTTGTTTACAATCATTGTGGCATCCCCATGGTCATGTGATTAAAATTCACATGCTTGGCAACTGACTCATATTTATGACGGTTGCAGTGCCCCAGGGTCATGCGATCATCTTTCTGACAAGCAAAGTCAAAGGGGAAGCCAAATCCACTTAACAACCATGCTACTAATTTAACAACTGCAGTGATTTACTTAATTGTGGCGAGAAAGGTCATAAAATGGAGCAAAACTCACTTAACAACTGTTTCACTTAGCAACATAAATTTTAGGCTCAGTTGTGGTCGTAAGTCGAGGACTACTGCACTAATATCATTATAGAGAACTATATATTCATTGCATCTTGAAATGAAAGATGCATTTGGTCTTCATGAGGGAATTTTTCCAGTCACAATAAGCACATTCTTGGCAGGTAGAACAATTTCCTGACTCACCAGGAACTTTGAAACAATTCTGAATGCCAGCTTTTTATTAAAAGTCTGCACTAAAGCTGCAAACCTGAACACATTTTCAAGCCAACGGTAAATAAAACAACAAGAGATTGTGCTCCATTGTTTTTTGGTATATAGAAATATTAAAAATATGACCAACACTAAACTTATATAGGAGCTGATTTAAACTAAATATTAGGACGTAATTTGGTTCTGTTCTTAGCTATTCTACTTAAGCTATTTAAAATACAATTGGTTTCCTTGGGAAAAATTTAACTACATCAAAACCAATAAGGGTATATTCTATTTAATTCTGACGGGGTAGTAGCCTCTGCCTAGACAAAGTGCAATTAACTTGTCTCAATCTCTGGCTAATTTAGAGTTTGCCTCAAGCCCTCTTCCTTTGATATTTGTTAAAGTATGTTATTGCTTTTTCAGAGGAAACTAAAGGGAAAAAAATGAAGGAGAAGAACACCAGGGCACAGTTGTCTTTATGCATTGCATCAGAGTAGCCGTCTGTGTTGAGACCAAAACAGATGAGAATGTAAAACGTATCAAATAATACATTTGATTATTATTTCCCCCAAAATAATCACCAAAACCAACTTGCACATATCTCCCATCTGGACTGGCAAAAGTGGCTTAAATTGGTTTGCTGCTATGTCCCTTGGGCAGCACAATCTTTGCTTGAAAGGCCCTGGCTGTGGGACTTGCTTTCTAGATGAAGTAGCCATGGTTTAAGGTCAGTGTTTCCTGTGTGGAAACACCATGGAGAGGGAAGGAGGGAGAGGGACAGAAAGAGCTCTTTTGACAGGTGAACCTAATCTGGCTCTACAGAGAGCCTCAGGATTGTCTGTAGAAGGAAGGAAGGAAGGAAGGAAGGAAGGAAGGAAGGAAGGAAGGAAGAAGGAAGGAAGGAAGGGGGAGGGAGGGAGACGGAGACGGAGAAGGAGAGAGAGCTCTTGACAGGTGAACCTAATCTGGCTCTACAGACAGCCCCAGGGTTTAGACAGGAAGGAGGGAGACACAGAGTGAGGAAAGAAGGAAGGTAGGAGGGAGGGAGGGAGAGAAGGAGGGAGGCAGGGAGAGTGAGGGAGCTCTATCTCAGAGCTAGCTCTTTTGACAGGTGAACCTAATCTGGCTCTACAGAGAGCCCCAGGGTTTAGACAGGAAGGAGGGAGACACAGAGTGAGGAAGGGAAGGAAGGAAGGAGGAAGGAAGGAAGGAAGGAAGGAAAGGAAGGAAGAGAAGGAAGGAAGGAAGGAGGGAGGGAGGGAGGGAGGGAGGGAGGGAGGGAGGGAGGGGGCAGGGAGAGTGGGGGACTCTATTTCAGAGCTAGCTCTTTTGACAGGTGAACCTAATCTGGCTCTACAGGCAGCCCCAGGGTTTAGACAGGAAGGAGGGAGACACAGAGTGAGGAAGGAAGGAAGGAAGGAAGGAAGGAAGGAAGGAAGGAAGGAAGGAAGGAAGGAAGGAGGGAGGGAGGGAGGGAGGGAGGGAGGGAGGGAGGGAGGGGGCAGGGAGAGTGGGGGACTCTATTTCAGAGCTAGCTCTTTTGACAGGTGAACCTAATCTGGCTCTACAGACAGCCCCAGGGTTTAGACAGGAAGGAGGGAGACACAGAGTGAGGAAGGAAGGAAGGAAGGAAGGAAGGAAGGAAGGAAGGAAGGAAGGAAGGAAGGAAGGAGGGAGGGAGGGAGGGAGGGAGGGAGGGAGGGAGGGAGGGGGCAGGGAGAGTGGGGGACTCTATTTCAGAGCTAGCTCTTTTGACAGGTGAACCTAATCTGGCTCTACAGGCCCGATTCCTGAGCTCAGGTGCGATTCTTCTGCATCGACGCTCCTCCTCCTCTGCCGGCTTTCTTTCGGCAGTTCGGGATAGAGGAAGTTAGCCAGGCTCCTTTCCTTAGAGCCACGGCATGGGCTGCTTGGGAGGAGTGGAGCCGGCTTGGGAAGGAGTACGACAAAAAGAGGGAAAATATGGACATGGTAACTCTTCTGGCCAGAGGTTGGGTTTGCGGGGCTGGGGACAAAACAACTCTTCAGCGGCTTGCAGCTGGTTAAGGATCGCTGCCACGCGCAGCAGGAAAGCGGGCTTGGGGTTTTTTTGGGGAGGGGGGGGTAGGATGGAGTAGACCGGGCCCAGACTGCTTTGGAGAGGAGGAGGGTAACTATACTTTGGATTGGTTTCTAGAGCAAGGCATTATTGTCTAGAGCAAAGCACAGCGTCTGGATCGGGGCCATAGCTGTGCTTTGGATTTTCTGGAGCCTTTCCTTGCTTTCGGTGCTGGAGTTTATTTTGCGGGTTCACCTTTCTGAAGTGAACTTTATTCATCCGCACACGTGGCTTGTCTGTAAACATTCCTAGTACAACAGACGGGGGGAAATGCTTCGCCTTCCTTCTAGATGGCTTCTCTTTACAATCTACTTCTACTTGCAATCTTTTTATGTAAGGCTGAAAAAAAAATATGGCTAAACCTGGAATGTAGCAAAGAGTTCTAGCTGACCGTCTCTCTCTACTGCTACCTTTCCTAAAGTTGTTTGAATTTTGTGACCAATTCCATTTTAATTCTGCCTAACAGTCACGGGACAAGATTGTACCATTTTTTTAAAAAATTATTATTTTGAAGCTAAAATTACACAAAGTAAGATCCATTGAAGAATGGAGCTGCTTCTGAGAGACTAGATTGTACTAATAATCTAAGACCCCTGAGATAGTTGGCATCTACACTTGAAATTGTTCCGTTTATTTTTAATTGTGAAACTACCTGAATAATGGCTTCTTTTGTTTTTTTCCTCCCTCCTTTTGCATTTTTTGAGAACCTGTGGGTGGATTAGTGGGGAAAACCTGCATGAGTGGATACTTCCTGGGTACAGTGTGTGTCAGTCTAGTTGTAGTCCCTGATGCATGTGGCAACATGTGCCTCTTAAGGTCAGAGTATTTTACTACTTTGAAATAAATGAGTCTCCGAGCATGTTCCTCTTTAGATTTAGAAAATTAATTCTAGATTCTTAAAGTGCAACTGTAGTGACTCTACCCTTACAAACCTTTGGGAGTATTGCTCTGTTCTTGTCTTTACTCTCACCCAAAATCTCTTAGAAAATTCCTTGGACAAAAAGATCTGATTTTCTGCACTGAAGAGCTTCTACATAGAAGAAAGGAATAACCTAAGGGCAGGATAAGAAATAACAGTTGGAAACTTACCAAAGAAAGACCAACCTAGAACTAAGGAGAAATTTCCTGACAGCAAGAACAAATAATCAGCAAAACAGCTTGCTTCCAGAAGTTGTGGGTGCTCCATTTACTGGAGGTTTTTAAGAAGAGATTGGATAGTTATTTGTCCAGAATGGTATATAGGGTCTCCTGCTTGAGCAAGGAGTTGGGCTAGAAGACCTCTAAGGTCCCTTCCAACTCTGTTACTATTACATGATAATTCCCACTCATCCTGCCGTAATGTTCATAGACTTATTGTAAGCTTAATTAAAAATTGGAGAGAAAAATTGCTTGTATTGTTTCTATTTTAATAATAAAACTTGCTTTTTATTGCTTTTTTACGCAATAAAAAACTTCTAATAATCTTTTTAAAGAACAAACAATTCCAACTCTTCTGTTTGTTGTTAGAACATAAGTGACACATGTATCTTTAGATTGGGGTGTCAAACTCATGTCACGGCAGCGTCTCATGACGTATCAGGACTTTTTTCCCCTTCGCTAAACCGGACGTGGGCGTGGCCAGCGCGTAACAGATCTGGCCCGCGGGCTGGGAGTTTGACAGTCCTGCTCTAGATTTTAGTAATATATTTGTACCAACCCATAGTACTGTTAAATATCATACAGTTATACTGATGCGTAAGGTGGATTATGTCGCAACTATAGTAGCTTGTAAACTACAGTTTATAGCTTTATGATAGTCATAAACATTGGTCATCTATTGGAGTCCGGTATTTTGAAAAATTCTAGATGCATTATATTCTACAGGAATTCCTGCTTTGTTGAGTGAAGTTACATTAACACTTTCTCCTCCATTGTGAATTGCTCTCTTTTTCTCTCGTTGTTAGAAAGGTAGTAAGTGAAGAATTGTTAGGCCTTAGCAAACTTGATTTGGAGTAGGAAAGAAAGGAACTTTCCCCCCAGAATCTTGCCTTAGGATATCCTGCCTCTAAAAATTAAGGTTTAACAAGATGCCATAACAAGTGGTTAAGGTACCAGGCTAGAAAGTGGGAAATCGTGAGTTCAAATCCCATTTTAGCCATGAAAGCCAGTTAGGCTGCTTTGTGCCAGTCCCTCTGTCTCAGCCCAACACAACTCACAGCATTGTAGTTGTGGGGAAAATAGGAGATGGATGTTGTGTTGGATATATTTGCCACTTTGAGTTATTTGTAAAAATAATAAAGGCGGGAAACATTTGTTAAAAAGAAAGGATCAGAGTAGATTGTAAGGGAAAAAAAGAAGGATTTGTAAATTCTCCCAGTTCTGATGGGAGTATAGCGAATGATCTGTTGTGTGTATGTTGTGCCACTGCAGAATCCCTGGTTTTGTCAGAGCTACATTCAAATTCCAGCATGCTGTGCTGTGCTTCATGGATGAGCCGTGGCACCTGTGGTGCTCTTTAGAAACTTTAGAGGCATCTCTTCTGGATCCAGCTCTGTTGTTTCAGCTGTGTTTTAACTCATAATACCATAATTCTTCTCAGGAATACAGTCCTTCTGGGATGCCTTGTTGCAATGTTGTGACCTGGCAAAGGCTTCTGTTTTCGTTGGGCCATCTCTGAGTACCATCTAAGAGCATTCAGAAATAGAGGAGCACCTGGTTTTCAATAAAGAACCATAAACATTGCTGAGCGTTTGGGCTGTTTTTTGTTCTTTAAAAAGCATGCAGATATTGTGCCCATGCTGCAGACACAATGCTGTTTATTTAATCTTCGCTGCCATTGGTTATAGCCATAACTCTGCGTGGTGTTTTAGATGAAGATCAGTGGGTTTCATTTGTCTTTCTTGTATGGCAGTGTTAATTGCAGATAGATTCCAGTTTCAACTAGAGTCTTTGGCATGGCTGGCTGCATCGTGCAGCTGGCTGCTCTAGTACAATCAGAACAACTGAAGTATCCCTTGGATGCTTTACATCACACTGTTTAATGTGGAAACACTGGCGTTGACTACGAGAGGTTATTCAGAGGAGACTATTTGGTATTTAATAAGTTGGATGCAATTATACAAAATTCAATAACATCTCAGGACAAGGCTCAATTGTGTTGCTTTCTCATTAAAGACATCAGCATGTTTCTTTTCAGCATAATGGAACGTCTGTCTAGGGTTGTCTTGTTTCCCCGGATTTTCTAATCTCTGATCTATTTCAGGATAAAACCAGTTAACATACATGTTCCTTGTGCTAAGCGAGTCCATTAAGTTCATCAGGTGGTTCAAACTAGTACCACCCTCTTCCTCATTGTGGTGGCCTCCAAATTTGCAAGGTGTGTAATTCCGAGAATTTGTTGTCTGTCATTCCCAGAATTTGTTGTCCGTTCTTTGAAAAGTTGTTCTAGCATATCTGGAGGGCCTTTTTAAAACAGGAAGAAATAAATGGTTACAGAGAGGCCCTGAGCCGGGATTTCTGGGAGTTGATTTCTGGGGCCAAAAGTTATGATTGCAAAAAGTGCTGTGTTATTTTAAGTGTTTCCCCCCCTTCCATCTCATCTCCACCCCTACCACACAACATTAAATTGTGTCTAGTTTCCAGCCAATTAATGGCAAGAATTAGAGAGAAAAGCAAGAGCAGTTGTCATTAAGATAGATTTGATTTAGAGTTCTCCATGGGCAAATTATCAGGAACTTTCCAGATTAACCCTAATGAGAATGGCTAATGGAAAGTAGGAAATACAGTCCAGGAGTTATGGAGGTTACCAGATTAACTACTTCTGGAGTAATCCAATGAAAAATCTCTTCTTACTAATAGTAGGTAGTTGGACATAATTTCCTCACTACAAGGATTTCGGTCTTCCCTTGTGCTTCTATTCAGCTTTTGTTATTTATATCAGTATTAGCTCCAATATGCTAATGATTAAACTATTACTGTGATACAATGGATATTCAGAGGAGGCCTGGAAAGATTTTAATTTAGTTCCAGCCGGAGTTACATTTTCACCAGGCACTAATTCACTGGTAGCTCTGCAACTGGCAATTACCTTTTCTCTTTTTTGTCTATTTTAGGAAAAGCCCAGAGACTTTGGCAGTCTTCGAGCAATGTTTCAAAATGATTCCAATTTTTCCAATATACTCCTGGAGTCTGCAAAGAAGCCTCCTGCCAAATTCAGTCCACGGCAAAATACTGGTGGCTCATCTGTGTCTCTTCCCACACCAAAACCCTTGCACCGAAGGCAGGTTCCAGATCCTGAACAGCAAGCCAAGCAGTTCAGCTACACGTCACAGAAATTTGAAATCAGTCAAGTCAAGCCTATGGTATTCCCAAAGGTCAAGTTCAAAGATAGGAAAGACTCAAACCTCTCTGGAGCCATTTGCAAGCCACCTTCATCAGGGGAAGAATCACAGAAACCGCATCCAAGATCTTGTCTTTCTCCTCAAGGGTCTGAAGGAGCAAGCAGTTCTTTTCGCAACACACTGCACATTTGGGAAAGTGCTTCAGCACAAGGTGACCAGAAATGTGGTGCAACACCACCACAGTGTACAATCAGGACAACTTCTCTTTCCCACCCACAAGTTGTTAATGTTGCGATTTCGACAGAGGATAAAGCAAAAATAGCTGGACTTAAGCAAGGGATGGTCCTTGATGCGTGTAAGCCTCCATCCCAGGTACACAATGAATTTGTTCCTACAACTTCACCTCTGGTTCCTCCAAGAAGTCATACAAGCTTAAATAAAGTGGTTGCTGGTTTTTCTCCAAGTAGTTTGAACAATCCGAACAGTCTAAGCAAGGCCTCAAATGGTAAATATATTTAATATTTTTTTCCTCATGTTAAGCCAGTTATATTTGCTTCAAATAGGTCTAAGAACAATTATAGCCAAAGCACAGACAAAAAGTGGTTACAAAAAGTGATTCGCAGCTGTTTCCAGCCTTTAGAAGTAACATATATCCATTGGTGATAACTGATTTGTTGAGGTTGTAAACTGGGCTTAGTACAGATCGTTTTCCTTTTATATTATTTAAGAAATCTTAGAAATTGAAAATGTTTGGGTCATGCTTGTCTCACTATTTACAATTGTGGAAGAGTCCAATGCAAATAGGTTCTGTTGAGTTTACTTCTATTATGAAGCTATTAAAATATATAGTCACTCTTAACAAAATTGGGGAATGGACAGTAATATTTTATTGGCTATAAGGCTTGGTGTTAATGTTTGGGTGGTGATGGAGGGTTGTGGTAGATAAAGGTCCATATCACACCAGCCATCAAAGAAAGTACTCCCCTCCTTTATTAGAATGACAATTCTTAAACTAACATAAGCTTAACTTCTCTTTGGGGACATTTGAGAGCCAAAATATCATAAAGCTTTTTCCAACACTTCGTCAAATCAACTTGATACCTAGGCTCTGACAACGGGACAGCTAATGGAACAGCAAACTCCATGCCTTGTTTCACAAACTGTAGCTTAATACTTGTAGGAGACAGATAAAGATTAAGCTTTCTGACTGTGTTATTTCTCTATTATTTGATTAAAGCCTTGAAGTGATGGCACCCAACTAGTTACTAATCAGCGTATGTTCTTCATAAATATTAAGCGATGTGCTTGCTCTTATAGTAACCAAAGACATTCAGAACATGCTGTTGTGGCTGCTGAAATGAATTTTTGCAAACTCAGGAGGAGAAACCTACCATTGGGAATCTCTGACTTTGACAGTCTTCACAAAATCCAGGACCAAAGCCAACACTGAAGAAGATTAATATTTAATTGATTTTATTTTTTTCCTGGAAAAAAGTTGCCTTACAGGAGCTTACTATTAAGTGGCAATTTTGCCAATTTACAGGTGATTCATACGATAAGATTTTGAATGTAGCTTCCAGGATTTTCTCCCAACTGATCTTTCTAGGTGACTTTTCGGTGCTGAGTCACAGGGTGGTTTTTTTTTCATTTTTTATGAGTCTAGCATACAGTATAACTGTCATAAAATAACATAAAACAAGTTCTGCAAGATCATACGCATCCCATCTTATCACTGCTTATTTTCCAGTCTGCGTGCTGGAGAGATACATCATCGCATCCTCTAATGCATTTTCCTCAACAAAAGAATATTGAGAAACTGAGTTGATTTTATAAGGTGGCATACAGGTTCTTAAAATCAGTAACTCCATAGCTGTCATTAAGGTGACCAACTTTTTTACAATGAGGAGGACACAAATAAATTGAAGAAAAAAAATATCGTAAATAAAAGAAACGTGCATGTGTGCCGTGTCGTGTTTTGGTAATAAGTAAACAAAGCCACTTGCGCGCAGCTCTCAAAACAATTCTCCTGTGTGGAGCACATGCGTCTCATAATCATGTCTCGCCGCACTGTACCGAGCCTTGACGAATTGTCATGTCAAATACAAATATGTCACATCACACGCAACGGATTGGATCGGCATCGATCGAATACGGAGATTTACAGATTAGTCTTCAAATATCGAAAAGGAAAACATGTAGGAGGACACTTTTTGAGAGAGGACAGAACTTACAAAAGAAGGACTGTCCTCCCTAAAGGAGGACGATCGGTCACCTTACTGTCATGGCTTTTGGTTGCTGATGGCCTTATTCAACACAAAGTTGTCCAATATCCTTTGGTTGTGTGAAACAGTAATGCCCCGACTTTCTATCCTATAGTTTCATTGAATGACTTTAGGTTTTATATTTATGACAACATCCACATACATTAAGAAATGTATTTGGCATCTTAAACAAATAACTAGGGGGGGGGGGGTAATGATTTTATTAATTAAATTTATATGGTCTCACACAGTTTCACTGGATAGATGGATGGCCATGTAAATTTCATAAATTAAAAGAAACTTCAACTATTTTGTCTGTTGTTTCAGTGCTGCCATGCCTTCCTCTCCCTTTTTTAATGAAAAGCCTAAATTTGGATAAGTTGCTCTAGGCTTTGAATAATTAGGGTTGAACCATTCTCCTTTTTCAATTCCACAATATATAATATGCAAGACTGCATTTTTTTGTAGTCCCCAAGGCCATTACTTTTATTTGTTTACCACATTTATATTCCAAGTTTTCTCAGAGAAGTAACATAGACCAGGAAGCAGCTCATTAATTTTATCCCATAACAATTTAATATAGGTTGAAATGAGAAGGAACGACGGTCCAAAGTCATCTAGGGATCACTCTCTGTCAATGGAGTCCCAAATCTGGGTCTCCCCATTAAGTCCAATATATTTAAAATTACTTGCTTTGCTACAGATTAAACAGCAGTATGATTTGCTGTCAGGTTTTTTTTTTTTTTTGCAGAAAAGTACAAGAATAAAAAAATTGAGTCCAGTCCTTTAAGGCCGATATACTTTAGCTACCCTTCCCTCACCAAAACACAAGTATCCTGTCCCGCTTTGCTTCAATGATATTTTTGCATCGCTGCTCACACATTGCAGGATTCATCCATCAAATAAATAAATTTGGGGGGAAAAAAACGAAGTATGGCTTCTATTATCAAAAAATTGCCCGGAACCAGAGTTTGGAGGACCTTAAATGATACCTTGTTGGATTCTGTGGTACAGATGCTGCCAGTTCTGCAGCCAAAAGGCCAGTGCAGGCATACATTGGCACCGACCTTCCCTACATAACTTTTAAGAATAGAAAAGAAAGATGCCAGAACTAGAAGAAAACAATTCGTTGTTTCATGAATATGCATTGTCTACTCCTCTTTCTTCAAATCTTAAGATTAATTTATTTCTTTGATACAGAAAGATGTCCTGATGATGAAGATGCCAAGCTTCCAAAAATCAAGCTCCTTCCTTCTATCAAAGAACTTGGTCCTCCTCCAAAGAAGCCACCAAGACCTCCCAAGGTAGATCTTGGTGCCTTCCAGCAGAATTTTCCAGGTAGAGTATTTACTTGGTGGCATTGCAAAGAAATGGTTACTAGGTGCCCAGAACTGCAGTTATTTCTAATAGAGTGAGGTACTTATTTCAACGTATCCTGATAGCTATTGAACAATAAGTTCATTTCGGGTTATTTTTCTTTTGTCCCACAATTCAGTAAGTGATGTTCGCTGCTATTCTAAGGCGTTCCCCATCTCTCATATTCTTCAGTCTGACATGTCCTGCATCACTGTGGCTCTCTGCACTAATTGACATCAAGTTTCAATGAGTGACAAATATCACTCACTTTTAACTCCTTTGAATCCATGCTTTTATTTATTTTTATTAAATTTATATGCTATCCATCTTATGATCAAGCAGCTCTGATATATATAATGAAACTTCTCTCTGGATATTTTTCTCATGGTCTTCTCCAATATTAACCTAATAATTAGTCCAAAGTTTGGGATAAGTTTGTGGAAACCCAGAGACCTCTGGAACTCCTCTGAGAATGGCACTACGCTTATGAATTTAACTTCTCTGTTATATTGTATGGTTCCAGTAATTGTTTCCTTTAAATGTTTCTTTTCAGATACTCCAGATGATGCATACTTGACTCCTGAAATGTAAGTAAATATACCTTTACTTTACTGCCTAGGAATTCATTTCAGGTTGCCTTTATTTATCTTGCCTGTGGTATCAGGTTTCTGTAAATAGCAGTGCCAAGCTGCTTTTTGTAAAATAAAATAAGTGTTTTGTGGGTACACATATGCCATCTTAAAAATGAGATTCAGAAACTGTCTTTGTATATATGTGTCCTATCCTCAGTTTTGTATTTATGTATGCAACAGCTAGTAGTTTGGCAGAGAAAAAAGAAGTTAAGGTGAACAGAGAAAATTTGTAAACATCTCATAAAATCCCTTCATTACTGGCTTTCTTGGGTGAACATGATTACAGCAGTGTTCTTTGCATTAAAAATAAAACAAAACAGAATAAATTTATGGGTGCTATATTTCTGCTTTATAAACCATACTGTAATTGAAAAGATTTGCTTCAGGAAATATTCCTAGTGTTTTTACCTTTTATTACCTTTTGCCAAAATCATTAATGCAAAGCATTGTTATGAACTACTATCTCTCATTTCCCTGCTCACTGCGGAGATCTTTACAAGTGGAGCAATCCATCAGTCACAATTAGCTTTTTTGACTTCCATCATAATTTTTAGCAGCAGACTCCAATGCAATGCTGTGGAATATTTGTAGGTTTGACTGGGAAGTAGCAAATCTGTATCGCAATCTAATGTATTTCATAGGCTAGACCAGTGATGGTTAACCTTTTTGGTGCTGAGTGCCCAAAGTGGGTGTGCGTGTACCCGAATTCCCAAAATGCAATACAAGTGCCCCCCTGTGCATCCGCCCAACCCCACACATGCATGCACATCCCTCACACATGTGCCCCGGTCCCCGTGCCCCATTTTGGCTTTCCGGTTGGTGCAGGTGGCTTTCCAGGCCCAAAACAGGGTGCAGTGCCCCGTTTTGGCCCTGGAAAGCCTCCTGCACCAACCTGCACCCTCCTGTGAACGCACCCTGCCCCTCTGCGCATGCGCGGCAGAGACCTGAAAACCAGCTGGCTGGCGGGAGGTGCGTGCACATGCGCAGTGGAGCTGGGCTGGGGCAACGGCTAGTGTGCCCGCAGAGGGGGCTCTGCATGCCACCTGTAGCACACACGGGGCTAGACTCTAGACCAGTGTTTCCCAACTTCATTCCCATTCAATTCTGGGAGTTGAAGTCCAGACATCTTAAAATGGCTACCGTTGGGAAACACGGCTCTAGAGCTTCCTCCCTTCCTGCTTTATACTCAGGAGAAAAGCAAAGCAACATTGGCTACATTGTCTTGGAAGAAAGGCTGAATGGAAGTGTAATACACAAATCATCACTAATCGGGCTTAAACCAGGGATACAAATATTTTTATAGACAACATTGAAAATGGTAATGCAGATATTTGGCAAAGTATTTCCTTGTTATGTGTTTTTTTCCTAAATATTACAACATCACTACTTCTATTTGGACTTAATGCCTTTGTACCAATTGTCTGTGAACACGAAGTTCGTATGTTCTGGGGATCTAAAATAATGTGCTTTTCTTTTCTCTCTCTCTCTCCAAGAGAAATTGCTCCCTCTTTTTCTTCATTGTCTTTGGCTTGAAATTTCTGAAGTTCTATAAACCGAAGATTGCAAATACTTGCATCTGCTTGATCCAAAAATGCTTAAGCCATAGGTGTCAGTGAATTTGAACAGCAGATGTGGATTTTAATTACAGTTGTTTGCATGTCTGGAAAGAACGTGGGTTAAGATATCTATGTTGTCTGGTAGGTTCTATTTAGACAGCTTTTAGGCTAGGGTTTCTGGATCTTTCTTGCTAAAAACGTACAGTATGTCCCTTGGGTGTTTGGTACTGTGATAAGCAGACAAATGTGTCAGGACCAATTAAGACTGCTCTTATCAGTGTAGCAAGATGTGTATTCTAAGATGATGAGTAAACTTTAGAAAGATGATTTAACTGCAGGAAGCTATTGTTTGTGTAAGGCTGAGCAGCAACTGTTCCAATGTTGGTTGGATGGATGAGCAAGAGTCACTTCCAAGTCATGTTTTAGCAGTTAATCACTTTTTCTAGATGTACAAATGACATCTTTTGGGTTTGGGTTTGTTTGATTAGGTAGCACCAGTGGTGGGATTCAATTTTTTTAACAACAGGTTCTGTGGGCGTGGCTTAGTTGGGGGTGTGGCTTGGCAATCATGTGACTGGGTGGGCATGGCTAGCTGGTCACATGACTGTGTAGGCGTGGCTAACTCATCATGTGACTGGGTGGGCGTGGCTATGTGCATAGGGACTACTCAGGGCTGAAAAAAGTGATTTCTGACAGGTCCTCGCACTTTTGACCGGTCTTCGCACTTATGACTGGTCATCATTTATGCCCATTGTAGCATTCTTAACAACCATGTCACTCATTTCACAACTGCTTCTCTTCACCATGGTGACAAGATAGGGCAAAAACGTAAAATGTGAGGACAGTCGTAAGTTCGAGGACTGGTCAAAAGTGTGAGGACCAGTCAGAAATAACTTTTTCAGCCCTCTGAGTAGTCCATATGCATAAAAGGATACAGCAATAGAGAGGGATGAAGGAAGGGAAGGGAAATTAGAGTAGGAGGGAGAGGAAGAGAGGAAGGAAGAGAGGAGGAGAAGGAGAAAGGAAGAGGAAGTAGGGAGGAGAAGAAGAGGGGGGAAAGAGAAAGTAAGAAGGAAAGAAAAGAGAGAGGTGGTAGGTTTGAGGAGAAAGATTGCTGTACAATAAAAAAGATGAAAGGGAAGAAAGCCAACCCCAAACAAATATAAAGATATTAAGATAAAAAATGAATTGTTAAACTTTAAAGAATAAAAGAGAACAAATATGAATAAATAGCAATAATTAGAAACACACATACAAACATACAATGTATTTTCTTTGAACTGAGTATTTGGCCGGTTCACAAATTTAAACAGTGTTTAGTCATTTCAATTAAATTTACAATTTCTATATTTCCTTTTTGCCATATTTATTCCTCATCTATTTTTGTAAAAAACCAATATTACCCTTCATCCTCATCTCTAATCTTAATCAAATTCAATTTTTCCCTTCTATTCTATATTATACCCCTTCCCATTGTCATCTATTTTTATATCCATCCTCACATTGGTTAATTATGTAATATTAGTTGTTTAATATAAATTCAACATTTTAATATAAATCAATTAGTTATATAACTACCTTTTTTGTATATTAATCAATATGAACATGAATATTCCAATTATTTCCGTGCAATCCAATTTCTTAAAAATCAATTAATTATATTTACCAATAATAATAAACCAAATAATTTCCCCCATATATTCCTCCAAACCACAACTTAACCATTTCTGCTTTCAGAAATATACAATTAATAGTATCTCAATTATTACAATTCCCTAGTTAAATAGAGCTTTTTTTCTTTTGTGTTTTAAAATCTTTTCCTAAATTTTGCATCGTTTGCACCTACCTTTTTTGGTGAGGAAAAAGAAAAGAATTGTGCCTGCCTAATTTTCCAACGTTGCAGCAACAGCAAAGCAGTTTCAGTTTCGTGTTTCAGCAGAGCTAAGGGAAAAAAATCTGCTCCAGGACTCTTTGCAAGGAAGCAGCAGAGCCCTGAGCAAAACAGCTGAGACAAATCAGCTGAGAGCCGGGAGGCCGATAGAATCAAGGGGCTAATTAGCCTATGCTGAAGCTCCGTGGGCCAATAAAATTACAAAAAAAACACCGAACCGTTTGTTAAATTGCTGGCTCGCTCGCCCCATTTATTGGGAATAAATAATAGTGCGGAGGGGTGGGGCAAGGGGCCTGACGAGCCAGCAATTTAACAAAGGGTTCGGCCAAACCCCCTAGAACCCCCAGAATCCCACCACTGGGTAGCACTCTCAATTTATACTTCAGCTTTATAATTACCTTGTTTCCCTGAAAATAAGACCTAACTGGAAAATAAGTCCTAGCATGATTTTTCAGGATGTTCGTAATATAAGGCCTATCCCCCAAAATAAACCCTAGTTAAGATTGTCAGACAGATAGTGCATTTAGTACTGTATTTCCCCCAAAATAAGACCTAAACAGAAAATAAGCCCTAATGCATCTTTTGGAGCAAAAAATAATATAAGAACTGGTTTTATTTTGGGGAAAACACAGTATAATAAAAAATACATTTTGAAGCAAACTGTTGGATGGTTGATTACCATTTCTTGTGGTATTTGATTGTACATCTAGTGTCCTGGAAAGGACACTAGATGTATACTGGAAAGTGTCCAGTCCACTTTGATATATCTTGGGTACATTATAATGTTTAATAAGAGTAAGAATCATTTGGTCATGCTCATCTAGCAATAAATTACGGGAAATCCTTAATTTATGACCATAATTAAGCCCGAAATTTCTATTCCTAAACAAAATAGTTGTTACCTTTTGTTCCATTTTCCGATCTTTCTTGCCACAGTTGTTAAGTGAATCACTGCAGTTAAGCAGTTAAGTTAGTTACATGGTTGTTAAGTGTGTCTGGTTTCCCCATTGACTGCTTGTCAGGAGATCACAAAAGGTGATCACATGACTCTGAGACACCGCAACCATCATAAATACGAACTAGTTGCAAAGCAGCCCAATTTTGATCACATGCTTGTGGGGATGCTGCAGTGATCATAAGTTTGAAAACAGTCATAAGTCACTTTTTTCAGTGTTGTTGTAACTTTGAATGGACACCTAATTAATGGTTGTAAATTGCTAGCTATATATTCTTGTAGATGGATAAAATGTCATTCAGGTTTTTATAGTATAGTATAGCCTTTATTGTCATTGTACATCATATATACAATGAAATGGGTTTAGCCTCTCTGGTGCAATCCATGCTCCACTATAACACCAGAAGCTCAAAGTCGCAGCATCTACGCATGCCGCCATCTTGGATTTAACTCCCTATGCTGACTATTAGATTTGGGGGGGGAATTTCTTTTTGGGTTTTTTTGTCTGTATGTGCCTTTGAGTCACTAATCTTTCTTGGCCAGATTTCAAATTGGTTTGCCATTGCCTCCATGCTAGGACTGAGAGACAAGTGACTGGGCCAAAGACAACCCAACTGGGTTCATGCCTAAGACAGGGCTAGAATTTAAGGTCTCCTGGTTTCTGGTCTAGTGCCTTAATCCCTATACCAAATTGCCTCTGTAGTTGCTGGGTATTAAATAGACATGATATTGAGTATTAAGTGATTTATAGAACATAGAACATTTATGTATTTGTTCAAGTTGTTTAAAACACTTCGTTAAATTCTATATGATCTGTTCCTGATTGGTTAGCATGTGTTGACCACATACAATTATTGTTTAGGATCTGGATAGCTCATTCAACTAGATGGATTTGGCATTCTCAGTTGTGAATTCCATGATTCTCTTGAACTGATCCCCAAAGAATCTATTGAATTATTAATTAATTGCGTCCAGGTGCTTCATATTTTGCATAAAGTTTTTGCAACTCATTGTAAAAAGATGTTTATCATTTCAATTTGTATAATCAGATGAGTTTCATTCAAATCAATGATTTGATTTGTATTTCCAAAGCTAATGGTCCAATCAAGTTAATTTAAGTATCTGAATAAAACTGTTGAATTGAGTTATTCCTATTATTTTGGTTATAGGAAGAAAGTTGTGTTTCCGTATACAGAAGACCATTGATGCTTGGTTTCTCTTTGGAAGGATTTGGTTTGACAGTTTGATTCCAAATTATTTGATTTGGAAAGTTGATTTTACATTTGATCAAATTTCCTTTTAATTGGATTTCTGAACTGATTGTCTTCATGGCCCTAATAAGCACTATACTTTCATTCTTGCAAAAAATACTTGAAAATGTGGAATATTATTTTCCGTGTTCTTTTTTAGGATTCTCAGTGTTGCAGAATTTACAGAGAGTTGATCAAACAGCAGTAGAGGTCCTGTTGTGTTGCTACCTTACTTTTATAAGTTTCCATGCAACATTGAAAAGCAGTACATCATATAAAACACTCCCAAGATTTCTTGGCTAGTAGAACCATCTGTAAACTTCCTATTGAGGAAGAGAAACAGGACTGATTCCAGTCAATATACTGTACATCTCTGGGATGAAGGACTCAAAAATATCCAAACGCTTTTATTGTTTTCTAAGTTCTTTTTCAGAAAAGGATAATGGTATGGCCTCTTCCTTTATTTTCAGTACTGAACTGGAAGATTTGAACACCTATGAAGAAACCATATATTACCAGGAACAGCAAGAGAACTGCCCTAATCCTGCTCAACGGCCTATACACTGTGAGTTTTAACTGTTGTTTCATTGATGCAGATTATATGGGTGTACATTGCTCATTAGATGTGCAGCTACTCCCAAGGTTTATTAGCTTGCAACATGAGGGAATTTGGTGATTAACACTGTGGCAGAAGTAATACTTTGAGAATTTAAGTAGCAGAGGTGAGAAATTAGTCGACGGTTAACATTTTAAATCTAACAGAAGAGAATATACATAGCTCAGGATTGAACTATCGAATCCTGGCTGCTGTTTGGACTTTGTTGTTTGCTAATAGATGTTTCATTACCCGATTTGGTAATATCAGTGCATTTAGATACTAACTGAAATCATCAGTGCACTGTAATTTTGGCTTTTATATTCTGTGTTAGGTTTCAGTACATTTATCAAGCTTTTCTCTATTTTTTCTTTTCTTTTTGTACTATTTAACTTCAAACTCTTTTTTAAAAACTCTTTTAACTATGTGCCTCTGAAAAGAGGTGATCTTTCATTGACTTTTCTCACACATGTTTTTCATTTTTAAGATTTGGATGGGGATAGAATTAAGATGACTTCTAATTGTATCAGTAGTTCATGAAATCTTGCAGTTTTAGTTTTTTAAAAAATATTAGCTTGGGTTCATTTTATTTAGTTGGTTGGAAAAGGTAGGTTATATAGCAATCTATCTGTAACTTCTTATTATGGTTAGCAGTTTTATCAAAGTAGTTGAAATAAACTATAAAGTGGAATGTACTAATTTCTACTAAACCTTGATTCTAGCTTTCAAGTCTTTGAAAAAGGAAGATACTAAGGTATGTGTTCTCAATCTCTAGTTTGATGAAATAATTAGAGGTAGAGAAGAAAAAGAGAACAACGGATCAGCACTTGGCTTGCTGTAGAAATATCCATCTTTATGGAGCTCATCTCTCTAGTTTAGGGGTGCGCAATTAATGGCCCCTTTATGACCTGTAGATTTCAAATCTCGGAATTCCTGAGCCAGCTGATTAAAGAATTCTGGGAATTGAAGTCCACAGGTCATAAAGGGGCCATTAATTGTCCACCACTACTCTAACTAACTAACTAAAGGAAACTTATTGTCTCTTGTGTGTTTATAGCTAGGACCTAGATAGTAGATGATTAATATTAAAATAGAAATGTATTAAATTTCAGCATTCTGGAATTGGTGGGTTTTTGTTTTGTTTTTTTAACCTCAGGACAAATTACTTTTTGTTATGCTAAAATTTTATATCACATTTAGAATAATACACACAAGGCAATATTTTACAAATTATAGCTAATTACTGACTTTTTTTCAACATAGCAATTTCATTATTTAAATTGGATGAACCTAGTCCTAACGTCAAGCAATTGTGATGATAATGTAATGTTATTGGCTTCATTCATCCATTGTGTTGCAGGTTACAAGTATATAACCAAAAGTATATAATATAAACACAATCTAAATATGTTAAATTTAATTTGTTGATAGAACTGAAAGTATGTTGAACAAACAAGTCAATTCTCAACCAATTTTCCTAGTAAACTAATTAATTTTCTTCAAATGTTCCATATGAGAATAATATAAACTGAAGCGTCTGGCAAGCATAAAAGCTTTAAAATGAGTTATTTTTCATGCAGGTTATTTCTCCCATAACTTTTGTGTCAGCCTACTTTTCCTTGTGCTTCAAAGATTGCTTTGGAAGATTAGCAAATGTTTGAAATGACAACCCATTTGGTGTCATGGATTAAATTCAGGAAGGAAAATTTGCTTGTGTATGTTTATCTGCATGCTTTGGAAACTTTGATTAGTGTCTTTTGGATTCTAGCCACATTTCACTAAAAGGACATGGAACATAGATGCAGACCAAGATATTCCTTAAAACAATGTCCAGGTCAACAAAACTATTATTTTGTGACCAATCTGTGAAAACCAAAGCACTCTTTGTTTTGCTACAAATAGGTTGAAGAAATATTAAGCCAGGAATATTTATGTACTACTTATTGCCCTATGTGTTGGGTTTTTTTTTTAAAAAAGTTTTTAATACAAGGATTAAATTATGCAGCTGTAAAAATGGACATGGTATTTGAAGAAGGAACAGTTTGATATTCTGAATCGCAAACAGCTTCTAGTCGAGAATCTTACGGATTTCATTGGTCTTGTGTTATTAGTCTCAGTCTCTTGAAATTGCTAGTCCAATTATCTACAGTGTTGGGTATCCTCAAAGTATGATCTTCAGAATATCTAATATTTGTTGCTACCAATTATTTTTCTGAATTAGTAAATGGGCAATTCTTAATGTTGAGTTTCCGATTGGATTGTATGTGCACAAACTGTCTTATAAAAGGCGATATGTCTTTCTTGAAAACCCTGCAGTGCTGCGGCCCATTCTACTCACAGATGTTACAGGAGATCTTTTAATTGGGAAAATTGAATAATTGCTAATATTGAATATGTAAAATGGCTGAATTTTACACTTGAATTTTCTACTCACCTAATGTAATATTGTCTTCTCTTGGTTTTGGCTTGGGAAAGAAGTAGGACATGCATTTCCCCTTTACTTAAAAGTTCAGTGAAATTTACTGGTAAGAATTCGGCTTGGGGAATGTTTTCTTATGATGAAACATGTAGAAAGTGCAAGATGGAGACAAATTAAACAGATTTGGGCCTGGATGATGCTTGATCAGAAATAATTCAGTACTTTATTTAATCTGCTTTGATTTATATGGTAGAAGAGATGCTCTGTGCCACATCGTGAATTTAGCAAGGAATGTTGTGAAAGGGCTCTAACCAAGCAATGTAATGTGTGCTAACAGATTTGCAGTCCCAGAAGTATATTCATGAAACCCCGAATCAGAGGGAATGAGAAGAACATGCCCCAAGAGGAAACAAATCAGTGTTTCTCTGGAGAAGGATTGGCAAAGGATGGAGATTGTGAGTAAATGCAGGTTGATGTTGCTGCTGCTTTACTCTGAATTAAGTGACACATACTCCTTTATACCTCTCCATACGTAACATCTCTTGATAAGATGTCCTTTGTATCTCTTGACTTCTTGCCAAGGATTGAAGAATTGATGTTTGTATATCTAGGTTGAGAGACGAGGGACAATTGCAAGAGCTGGTGTACAGTAATGGTGATTTATGGAATATGCTTAAGAAAAGCTTGGTACTGTATTATTTTATAGCAGTGTTTCTCAGCCTAAATAACTTGAAGATGTGTGAACTTCAATTCTCAGAATTCCCAAGCCAGCCTGGGTTCTGTGACTGTAAGTGCAATTTTAAAGTCCATGGACAATATAGAAGGACAATCACGGCAAAAAATGTTGACTGCTTTTTCCTTAATGGTATATTTTGAAGAAACATGCATCAAAAAGCCGGTGCAGTTTTCATAGCTGTCTCTTCTTGGATCTTCAGAATGCATGTTGCAGTTTCAGCATTTAGGCAGGTTAAATATTTCATATATGTTCAGGAGAGCTTGAAACAAGAATTCTGCTCCAGTTTCAGATGATTATGTATGCCTGGAATCTTTAAGAACAGATGAAGGGAAATGGAACCCAGATCTAAGAACTGCTACGTTGGAGCAAACTGCAGAGGAATTGTATGATGATGTGGAAGGAATAGAGAGAGACCTGTAAGTGTTTCATAGACATTTAGAAAGTACATGTAGATTTAAGTATTTTGAAAAATTGTGACTCTTAACATTTCAAATGTATTTTTACACTACTTTGTTTAAATGTTACGTTGCAGACAATCCTCTGATGCCCACAGATCATTTGCTTTACATTCCAGTAAGTATAGAAATAACACTTCTTATAGAACAAAGTGGGGTTGAATATTTAACCACTGAAAGAATTTATGCAAAGGTAGTTTTAACTCTTGAAAAACCATCCAGATTCCTAGTGAATTCTCTGCACTACCCAACCATTGGAAAGAGTATGAAAATTGGAGTGTCTGTAGACCGGAAAAAAATATGGCTTTATTTTTTTTTTCATGGCTGAGATCCCTTTTAGGAAAAAAATATCAAAAGCTTCTGAGTAGTGTGTCGGGGACACTCTCAAAGGTAAATGGGGTCAGGACAGTAGTTTAATTTAGATATGTTAGAATTCAGCTAATATGGTCAGATCCCATGTATTTAATAATGCCACACTTTTGTCACATGAAAAATGATAATTCATGGCAAAGTTTGTAAAGAAAAAATGTAAATATAAAAATTAAAGTTTTAATTTTTACTTTACATTTTATAATGTCAGTATAATTGTAATGTAAGTCAAATAACATTCAATAAATCATTATTTAGATATATTGGTTATATAATTCATATTGACGATTTCCCTTTGACATGTTCAAGCTGTAGATTTGCCAATGGGAATCTGATAAATTTTCTAAAAGTAGAAGGACCACAGTACTTCTATGCTAGCTTATATTTAATATACATGTTCTTATTTTGCAATTGTTATCCAGTGGTCTTCTGGGAAGTCACTGATAGTGTTCCATGGAGTGGGATCCCATGTTTGTCTGCTCTTTTTCATAGCCCAGAAAACTATTCTAGGAATAAAGATCCCCCTTTTTCTGTATATATAGAATTTATCTGAAGTTGTTAGACCTCAAAGCCTAAATAATATACTCTGTCATTTCTCAGTCTGAACTTTCCACTTTGCTCCTTAAACTAGCTTTGCTCTTGTCAGCAATGGAGAGATAATTAGTTGCTTCCTCCATTTTTTCCTTAGTATATTATTCATTTCTTTCTCCCTTGTATCAAAGGAAAGATATATGGGTATCTTCCAACTCATCCTCATTTTGTTAGGTTAGGCTGATTGATAGCACCTGGCCCAAGATGTCTTGGTAAACCATTTGACTAAGCAGGTCATGCTTTTTACTGACAGTCTTATTTGAAGACACTTCATTTAAAATCCCTGGAGGCTGATACTGTACTGTCAAATTAAAAAAAAAATCACCCTTAGTGACACATTGACTTTCAAATGATAGTACTCATTCCACATGGTGTAGTTAAGTTATGGTCACTGAATTTTTAATGTTGATTTATGTGAATTTTCCTCATTAGGAGCAGTCATGGTTTTGAACTCGTCTCTCAGTTAATTTATAGACTCTTATTTATTGGTTTGTTTGTTTTATAGTATTGGTAACCGACCCCAATCCAAAAACTCTAGGTAGCATATGACAAAATGGATGTGTTTGTATAAATCATATTTGTTTTGTTTTTTAAAATCCAAACTAATACCTTGCTCAATCATGAAATTTACTTGATTGTCGTAGTTGACTCACCATGTCAGAATATTTGAGAACTAGTTGAATACCGAGAATATTTGAGTGCTGTAAAGCAGAGGTGGTATTCAGCAGGTTCTGACCAGTTCTGGAGAACTGGTAGTGGAAATTTTGAATAGTTCGGAGAACCGGTAAATACCACCTCTGTCTGGCCTCGCCCCCATCTATTCTCTGCCTCCCAAGTCCCAGCTGATCGGGAGGAAATGGGGATTTTGCAGTAACTTTCCCCTGGAGTGGGGAGGGAATGGAGACTTTACAGTATCCTTCCCCTGCCACGCCCACCAAGCCATGCCATGCCTATCAAGCCACGCCCACAGAACAGGTAGTAAAAAAAATTGAATCCCATCACTGCTGTAAAGGTAAAACTGTGATCGCATTTGGGCTAAACTGAACTTCTTGGAAGAAAGGCAGAATATGAATACAACAGAAAATAAAGCTCAGAAGTTAATTTGTATAAAAATATGAAATAATCTGTTGGTTAGATAGATTAATAATTCTTTGGGGTTAATCTTTTGTGTGATTTCTCTACCACATCCTTTCCTACAGGATTGGCTCAATTTGAGACAGTTATAGGATGTGATAAAAGCTACAAAGTTGTAGAATCTTAAAGCGTATTCTTTTGACGTATTTTTGAATAGAAAACATGTGCTTGTTTTATTCCATCCTCCAATTCACAGTACTCTATATTTTATAATCTCTTTAAATTTGGAAGTCGGTTTTATTTAATTCAGGCACTACTTCTTGGATATTCCAAAAAGAGCTTAGTTAGGTTATTAATGAAGTGCAATAAATGGATGATGATAAAAAAAAATTAACACTTTTGCTATATTTCCAAATGATGTCTTTTCTAATTATACTTTAAAATTACCAGCAATGGGTGGTTTAGCTACAAATATGGCTTTTTATTCTTTTATATTTCAGATGATACCTATGAAGAAACGTATGAGGATATTCAAAGTGAAATTCAAAGTGAAGGTTATAATTCCTCCAAATCGGAGTGAGTATGAACTTTGGTTGTATGAACTTTGAGTCTTGACATTTTTATATCCTGTACAATTTGGCCCTTTTTGCTATAGGCACAAAAAAAGGCTGTATTAGTGCTGTCTTCTTGGCAATGGTCAAATATGTTTACTGTGTTGCTAGAATTCCTTTTTGGAGTGTAGGAAATATCATGGAACCAATTGGAAGGAATCTTAGATATTATCCCATTCAACTCCCTGCTTGGGATAGGATCTACTATATCATCTCTGATAGATGCCTTTCCAGCCTCTATTTGAAGATCTCAGTAAGAATTCACCATTTAATACAGGAGCCTCTTTGACTGGTTGGCTGCTTGTACAGTCAGAAAATTCCTCCTGATGCTTAGTAGCCATATTCTATGCACAGGTGGTCCTCAACTTTTTTTTTTTGGTTTAATTTATATGCCACCCTTTGCGGAGACTCAGGGTGGCTTACAATGCATTAAGCAATAGCCTTCATACTTTTGTATATTTATACAAAGTCAGCTTATTGCCCCCACAAACTGGGTCCTCATTTAACCTACCTTAGAAAGGATGGAAGGCTGAGTCAACCTTGAGCCTGGTAAGATTTGAACCTGCAGTAATTGCAGGCAGCTGTGTTAATAACAGGGTGCATTAAACCACTGTACTACCAAGGCTCCAACTTTTGAGCCCAACATTTCTGTTACTAAGTGAGACATTTGTTAAGCGACTTTTACCCCATTTCATGACCTTTCTTTCCAAGTTGTTAAGTGAATCACTGCAGTTGTTAAATTCGTAACATGATTGTTAAGTGAATCTGGCGTTCCTAATGACTTTGCTTGTCAGAAGGTAGCAAAAGATGATCACTTTACCCGGGATACTGCAACTGTCGTAAATATGAGTCAGTTGCCAAGTGTCTGAATTCTGATCACGTGACCATGGGGATGCTGCAAGGGTCGTAGGTGTGAAGAACGGTCATAAATCACTTTTTTCAGTGCCATTGTAACTTTGAATGGTCACTAAATGAGCTGTTGTACTAAATTGAGGATTAACCATATTACTTTAGAATATCAATTGGAACAGACTAGGCCAACATTTCCTGACTTGATACCCATCAAATTCATTGGATTAATTGCTTATAGTCTACAGGTAGTCCTATACTTACAACCACAATTGAGCCCAAAATTTCTGTTCTTAAGTGAGATATTTGTTAAGTGAGTTGTGTCCCGTTTTACGACCTTTCTTGCCATAATTGTTAAGTGAATCACTGCAGTTGATAAGTGGGTAACCTGTTTGTTAAGTGAATCTGTCTTCCCCGTTGACTTTGCTTGTCAAAAGGTCACAAAAGGGGATCACATGACATTGGGATACAGCAATGGTCATAAATATGAGCCAGTTGCCAAGCATCTGAATTTTGATCACATGATCATGGGGCTGCTAGAAACGTTGTAGTAAGTGTGAAAAATGGTCATAAGTCACTTTTTTAGTGCCGTTGTAATTTGGACCGTCACTAAATGAACTGTTGTAAGTCAAGGACTACCTGTATTTAACCAGCAGAAAACCATCAACCCAATTTTGAGAGCCTAACAAAGAGGACCCTAATACCAGAAATAATCTGCACTATCCTTCCCTATACTGGTGCCCTTGGGATAAATTGGAATTAACCCCTCTCCACCACTGCCAATCCCGCATGCCCCCACCCCAATATCTTTATCTAACAACCAGTAGTTAAACTTACCTCAGAACTAACTTCCACCGTAAGAGCAAAATCAGAAACAGATGCTTTTAGTAATAATCTATCTTTTTTTCCCATCTTGCCCTCCCAGAATTTCTGGAAAAGGAATTATTCATTCCAGGAATTATAAAAGGTGGGTGTTCCTCAGAGTAAATAATGCTAGAATATAATTGGCTTCTTCTGACTTGTTTTCATGCCACACAGAGCATGGTTGACCATGCCTGGGAAGAATGAACTCTGTAACAATCTGCCTTCTGCTTTTACATATGCGGGTTTTCTTTCAGGGTTATCCAGCCACTGAAGCACAAAGGAGCTGTTGAAATGATCTTTGCTGTATGCTAGCCTGAACTCTTTTAGGAGTTGTCCGAGCACCGTCTGCCTCTGAACACTGATTCCACCTTTAGATTTATACACTGTTTGTTTCTCTGTTTTTGTAAAGAAATTCTAGAAAAGCAGCAATTAAGGTTGGGGTGGTACCAGAGGTCACAAAATAGACACACATTCATCTATTGTCTTTTCCCAACTTTATGTTCATAAAGAAAGACAATGTATAAAACGTATATACAGTACCTTCACTTTGTTGTTTATTAATTTCTCTCTCTCTTTTCTTCTTCTAGAGATATCAAAATCGAAAAACTCAAAGGATTTGGAAAATTTTTCAAAGAAAAATTAAAAATAAAAAGCGCACACATGAAAGAGAGTTCCCGGTATGTAATGTATTATTCCAATAGTAGAGAATACAGGTAGTCCTCTATTTGCAACCACAATTGAGTCCAAAATTTCTGTTGTCAAGTAAGACATTTCTTTAAGTGAGTTGTGTCCCATTTTACAACTTTTCTTGCCACAGCTGTTAAGTGAATCACTGCAGTTAGTAACACGGTTATTAAGTGAATCTGACTTCCCCATTGACTTTGCTTGTCAGAAGGTCGCAAAAGGGGATCACATGACTTTTGGGACACAGCAACGGTCATAAGTGTGAACCAGTTGCCAAGCATCTGAATTTTGATCATATGATTATGATCAAGCTGCAAAAGTGGTAAGTGTGAAAAACGGACATAAGTCACATTTTTCAGGATGTTTTAACTTGGAATGGTCACTAAACAAACTGTTGTAAGTTGAGGACTACCTGTATATGGTATGTACAGAATATACAGTATGTTCCTAATCAAGGAACAATCAATCAAGAAGTCACATTGCAAGCAAGATTGGCAGGGGAATCTATTCTATATGCAATAAACAACCAGCAAACTTCAATCGCCTTTGCATTACCTAGCCTAGTAATGAAACATCTGCAGTAAAACAATCTCACTGAAAACTCATCATCATCATCATCATCATCCATAAAAGACATCTATTGATTAATTTAAAGTGCCAGTCCTTAATTTTATTCCATTTTGGTCACTGTGGTGGCTGATGAACCTTTGAAATGCTGGGTTACTGCAATACAAATCACAGCACTGTGAAGGTTACAACTTCTTAATGGCTAGTTCAATAATAGCATGTATGTCATTGAAATATAAATGGGTTTGGGATAGCAATGCAAAAGCTTTAGATACGTTTACAGAATGGCAAGGCCTTTCCCTTCCATCTTACCCAGATTGAGTGGGAAGGGCAGGAATGTTAGCGTGAATGAGGAGCATTGAAAAATTAAGCTGAAGGAGAAAATGGTAGCTGGTATGCATTTGAGAGGTTGTCACAAAGAGGAGGGAGTCAACTTATTTTTCAAAGCACCAGAGGGCAGGACAAGAAACAATGGATGGAAACTAATCAAGGAGAGAAGCACCCTGGAATTAAGGAGAAACTTCCTAATTGAGGACAATTAACAAATGGAATGACTTGCCTTCAGAAGTTGTGGTTGCTTCATCACTGGAGGTTTCTAAGAAGAGACTGGATAGTCATTTGTCTGAAATGGTATAGGGTCTCCTCTTGAGCAGGGCATTGGACTAGAAGACCTTGAAGGTCCATTCTAGCTCTATTCTGATTGGTTGGTTGGTTGGTTGGTTGGTTGGTTGGTTGATTGATTGACTTCACCTCTCAAAATAGAAATACGGGTTCAGAGGGTTGATTGACTGCATTTTTTGTTCTGGCTTTAGCACAAATAAGTGTGACACTTGATGGTAAGATTTAGCTTTTAGCTTTATGCTTGTCTCCGTGCAGTTTCGGATGCTTGAAAAAGAAAGTGACCATATTTATACTCAAGGAACTCGAACTGCATTGTTTAACTCTTCCTCTCTTGGTTTGTCTTTAGTTAAATGTAGTAAATCCTGAGGGCCAAGTTTTCCATTAATATTGAGCACTTGGCCAGGGAATTGTAAGTTGCTTTCAAGATCCTAGGTTGTTCTGGTCAACAAGTACCTTACATTAGTCCAAAGAGTTGTCCAGATACCATCTGAAATGAAAAAATTATTTGGGAGAAAAGAGGAAGGTTGATAATTATGAAATTTTAATTGAATATTAAAAATTCAAAGATAATAATCACTGGTTATTTTGTAATTCTTTGGGAACAGCACTCAGCATCCAATACAATTTAAGATGCCATTGATGGAGTAGATTATGTTGCTGTCCCAGTTTAGAGATTTCTCAGACATGTGGGTTTGAAAGCCACCTATCTGGCGAATGACTGAATAAGAGAAGGTCATTATAATGCCATTCATGAAAGAAATTCCTGATTCCTATTTGGCTCGTTGTGTGTTAAACAGCTCTCTACTGTATGTGTATTTTGGTCTCAATTTCTTTTTTCACATGTTTTATTAGTTTATAATATAAAATACAAAAATACAGAAGCAAATAGTAGGAAAAATAGGGGAGGGAAAAGGAAAAGGAAGAGTGTAGAAAAGAAGAGGAAAAAAGAAAAAAAATGGTATTGACTTCTGGCTCTCTTTGGTGTGGTAAAATAAGGAAATAACATCAAACTTCAACTTTTTACTTTTACATAATAGTATAAATCAGCCATTTCTATAACAACAAATGTATCTAATCGATAAAACCCAAAATCAAGGCTTCATTATTTTCCCCAACCTCAAGCACAAAGTCCAGAAGCGGTTTCCAAGTAAAAACAAAAGTATTTTTTTTCTTTTATCAAAGCAGTCAATTTAGTCATTTCTGCTAACTGCATCAACTTTTGCAGCCATTTGTCCATTGTTGGGAGATTATTTTTTTTTCACATGTTGCTGGTTTATTTGAGACTAGAGCTTAATATGCCGGTCTTAATTTCCTTTACTCTCTTCATGTTTTCCTCCATTAGTCTTGAGGTCTGTGAAAATGCTCCCGGGGTGGACATTTCCTTAATTTTTATGAATAAACCTCAGTTGAAACCATACCTCTTTTCTAGGCTCCAAAAAATGTAATGCATTTTGGATATGTAAATATGCTGCTTTCAGGAGTTGATAACAAAAATACTGTGAAGTTCAAATATTTCTATTGGTCCAATGCTTTCCCCCCCACCCCCAACTATGGCTTTTTTTATTCAGACATAGAATCTTCAATATTGAGTGGTGCAGTGGCCTAGAGGTGGAGCTCTCACCTCATATTCAGGAGGCTGTGAGTTCGATCCTAGATAGAGGCAGATATTTCTCTCTCTGGGCACTCTGAGATTGTATCTGCTGAATATAACTCCGCATTGGTGACAGGAAGGACATCCTGTCAGTAACCCTCAGCTCCATTCAGTTGTCAAGAATCCACCCCACGAGGGATTATGGGGTCATTTAAAGACGATGATGATGATGATATCTTCAAAATTAAGAGTCACGCAAATGTGATGGGCAGTATAGAAATTGGTGCATTCCTGTTTGAAAACCTTAACTGCAGATGTGCAGCCAAATGTTGTTATTTATAACCTATGGTGAAATGCACATTTGTTTTATTTGTCTTCTACAGCAATCTTTCCCGTTCTGTACCAAACCTAGGTAAGCTTGTATGTCTAATAGATAAACTGACTCTTTTGAAATAACATTTTTGGTCCTGTCTGCATGTCTGAGATGTTTTGGAATAGGCACCCCTCTTTTTTATTTTGTAATTATCAACAAAAAATATAGTTCCTGTTTAAAACACTGCTTCTCATTTTTAACAGATCATTTTTTTTTGATGGAGTGCAGCCAAGAAGGATTTTTTGCAGGTCTGCCATTGCTTGTCTCTAATTCTACAGCTTTTTGTAAGAGTAAATTGATCCTATAATTATTCTTTTACACACTGAATTTTTTTAGAGCTGCTTCAGACAAGTTAGATCTTTTCAGACGTTACAACGTTCTTAGTTATTTTAACACTTATTATATAGCCATTAGTCCTTTAGGAATTCGCTTCTAGAGTGTGAAATTCTTAAGGAGACAAATGATAATTGTGACAGTCTCCTTTTACAAGGAAGTCACTTGTGGTTTCAAAAGTGGCCTTGCTCACTTTATGAATTCAAAGGCCATTCATTTTCTGGGATGCACTGTAACTTTTTAGAGGTTGAGTTTGCTTATTTCCTACTGTCACTCCATTTATTTTCCCTTTCATATTGCATTTCGTAGACTGTAAGATTTTAGATGTTTCTCTTTCTTAATTCTGGGAAATTGTAGATAGTTAATCACACTCTCTGATTTTAATTGCAGATGTCATGGCCCAGGAAAACTTGGTGTATAATGACATTGACCCAGAACAAAATGATACAAGGTAGGTAAAATATATTCTTTGCTATCTAAAATTTCTCATGCCAATAAAACTTTCTTCAGATCTATACAATTATAGGAGTATCCTTAAAATATATCATAACATCACTGGCCACAATAATATAAAATGCAATAATATAAAATGCAATAATAAGGTTAATTAACTGATTATGTGCTTTTAGAACTGGCTCTTAGTGACCATATAGATCAGTGGTGGGTTTCAATTTTTTTTACTACTGGTTCTGTGGGCGTGGCTTGGTGGGCGTGGTTTGGTGGGCATGGCAGGGGAAGGATACTGTAAAATCTCCATTCCCTCCCCAATCCAGGGGAAGGTTACTACAAAATCTCCATTTCCTCCCAGTCAGCTGGGACTCTGGAAGCAGAGAATAGATGGGGGCAGGGCCAGTCAGAGCTGGTATTTACCGGTTCTTCAGACTACTCAAAATTTCCGCTACCAATTCTCCAGAACTGGTCAGAACCTGCTGAAACCCACCTCTGATGTAGATCAGGGTGTCAAACTCAAGGCCCACAGGCCGGATCCGGCCTGTGGGATATTTAGATCTGGCCTTGCGGGGCTGCCCTGGAAACAGCGAAGGACCGGCCCGTAGTGACTCTGCCAACAAAAGCGGGCTCCCAATCTCAGTTTTTGGCTTGGATGGCCTCCTCCAGCCCTCTGCCAGCAAAAGAGGATATCTGCATGCAGCCTTCCTGAGCTCCGTTTTTGCTGGCAGACAGTTGCAGGAGGCCATCCCAACCAAAAAATAGAGATTGGGATTCCGTTATCGCTGGCAGAGCACTAAGGCCACCACAGGCTCCTTAACACATCAAGCTGGTCATGCCTACCCTGCTCACCCCCCCCCGAGGTTAAACACAACCCTGATGTGGTCCTCAGTGAAAGTGAGTTTGACACCCTGACGTAGATAGTCTCCATGATGAACTATCACTTAACTTAATCATTCAGGTTTTCTAGCAGTGCATCTATTAACCACTGAAACCGAATCCATTCAGCTTCCTGCTGGTCAATCTCTTCTCTTCTTCCCACCTCCTTTCCTAGCATTAGAGCCTTCTTCAGAGAGCTGGATCTTTGCATAATGTATTCAAAGTAAAATTATTTGAGCCTGGTCATTTGTATCTCTAATGAGAACTTTGGCCTGATTTGCTCATGTTCTTGGCTATCCATGGTATTCTCAGGAATCTTATCCAACACCAAGGTTCAAAAGTGTCAATTCTATTAAGGCTAATATAGAAGTATATATAGAAGTATTAAGACAGATCTTTTTTGCCTTGGAATTCATTTTGAAGGCTCTGATGCACATCTGGGACATTTTTTGGAACATATTTTATTCATTTATTCACAAAACTGATATCCTGTCTTTCTTCCATGAGGTCAAGGCAGCTTACATAGCATTCCTCCAATCCTGATTGTCAGCCATACAAGATCCAGTAGATTACACCAAGAAACTGATGCCTAAAGCTCCTTTTGTTAAGACTGGCTTTATTAAGAAATTACTGGTATTTTTTAATCCCTTAATTCTTTTATCTGCAAAGGCTTTGTGTAAGCTTCCAGAAACCTCATGAACTGAAATATTTTAAACTTTCTGGATGGCGGTGGATTGTTCCCCTTGTACAAAACCAGAAACTTTGTACATCCAGAAGCAGAGTTTTCGGTGCCACACAATACATGTTTCTCAGGCATTGTGAAGATCACCTTTCCGTCTGTCTTCCACTATGGAATTGAAATGTCTTTCACCCTAGATTCTGTATTTTCCTCCACCCTAGTTCAATCTTGACATTCTTCAGTTATACACAAAATTTCAGCTGAGCTCTCTGGTTAACAATATGGAACTGAGTGCAAACAGTCACGTGCGGCAACTTTGTTGGTAGGCATTATGGCTGGGTAACTCTGCAGGTGATATACGTCAGCCCTGATAATAAAACTGAACTGGTTCTTCAGCAGCATGAGAATAATTGAGTATTAAATGCATTTTTGTGGGGAATGGAATGCTGTGGAGTCAAAGGCTGCGTGAAATTCAAATAGCCTTTTAATTCTAGCATCAGCTTTTTTTGCTTGCATTAAAACAAAATCCCTTGTAACTTTCCAGCTGGGTGAAAGCTGCTTGGTGCTCTGCTTGCAACCTATTGAACTACAGGTCTGGGTGGTACTGTAACTACATGATTCCTATTTGAAAATGGTTTTGTGATTCAGTGGTGCATGAAATGAGGCCTGTTGTGTGGTATCTTAGTTGATCGCGCTGGTACTCATTGTCTCTCTGGAACCTCAGCATTTTCTGACATCCCTGACATTAGGAAACAGTGTTTTCTCTCTCACTCTCCTTTTTCAAGAGAGAATATTTGTCATAAAACTGGACATTTACATTTCTTTTGTTGAAAGGAAGAGAGAGAAAAACAAACAACAACCATATAGAAAGATAAAGGAAGAACACTGGATGCATTTATTTTTGAAGGGATGGGAATTTCTAAAAACACATTATTTACATTTCTATTATTTATGTAAGAAGCACAATATAAAGTGGTCCACAATGTTTAATGCTATTCAACAGAAACTTTCCACTGTTGTGTCTTTCAAGCTGAAATGTTATATCTTTGACAAAAAAAGGGTGGAAGATTTGTGTGACATAAAGTCTAAATTAGGGTGTCTGAAGTAGCCAAAGCATAGTTCAATTTGCCATAATCCAAATTGGAACTAGCTGGTGTCTTTCTTTTTCTGCTTTTGTGGGTAGAGCTTAACAAACAGAGAGAATTGATGTAGCAATAGCAATAGCACTTAGACTTATATACCGCTTCATAGTGCTTTACAGCCCTCTCCAAGCAGTTTACAGAGTCAGCATATTGCTCCCAACAATCTGGATCCTCATTTTACCGACCTCATTTACCGACCTCAGAAGGATGGAAGGCTGAGTCAACCTTGAGCCTGGTGAGATAGTAGTCCAGGACACTTTTTTGGGAGAGTCCTGTCTTCTTCCTGGAAAATAAACACATAGTTGATTTCTTCAGTTTACTGTTAAGCAGAAAATTGGTTAGGTGACTGGCTTCAAGGTCATTTGAGGATCTTTCCAGATAAGGGCACCTGGTCTCTGATGCAGTTTTGGCAACACCATTCTGAAAAATCCTGATTTTTTCCCCCATGATTCTCAGATGTCCATTTGTTAGATTTATTCTGTACATGTGTCTTTCTTAGAAATCCCTTTAAAGTCAAGAAATACATTGTAGAAAAGAATAACAAGATGACAAAGGAGGAACAATCGTTTAGAGAGAGATTTATGGTAAGTTTCTTCTTCTTTTAAATAGCTTGGAAGATGTTGGCATGGTTACTGTTGTGTATATGATATATGAAAATATGCTGTGCAATTTGTCATCTCTTGTCACGATACAGAACTATGAATAGCAACATTCCAGAAAATGATTCTCGTTACATTATATTGCCATTAGAAATATGCATAAATTCGTAGTGGTAACTAAGAATTCTGGACCTTGTTTTAAGAGAAAAATCTGTGGTGGCAGAGTATATATTTTGCTTTTTTATATAGTAATTTTATTAAAGATTGTAATTACAATAGTATAAACAAATACAAATTAAAGTATAAAAAAAATAAAGTAAAATGCGTAGAAAAGGGGAGAAAAAGAAAAAATAATATAGTAAAGAAAAAGAAAATATATAAAATATCAACAATTTTAGTAATTTATTACCATCTGTTAAAATACAGCAAATAATCTCTTTCCCATATCCTATCTCTTATCTATAAACAAATCCATAAATATCTATTCATTTCAGTCCTGGTATCAGCAAGAATCCATTAAGGGTTACCGGGACAACATAATAGCTATTTTAATCTTGATCAAATGAACACATTTTATATTCCTTCCTCTTACTTCTAATAATGCAAACCTGTTTTCGGTTTGCCACTTCTTCCCACAAAGTACATATTTTCTGGGAAAATTTCACCTGAGAACTGATGCCACCTCACGTGTCCTTCCTGCTGTGCTTTCCTCTCTTCAGACCTGTGGTGGAAGATGGTTTCTGCCTTCTGTGCTTGCCATGCATATACCATGGTTGCCCGGATCCCGGGCCAGCAATAGGAGGAAGAAGACAGCTAAAGTTCCCTGAGGGTGGTACAGCTGGGGTGGTAGCAGCAGAGAGCAGCAGGAATAGCTGGTGGAGTGCAGGCCATCCAAAATGGCAGAGACAGGGGAGATAGGCAGTGGGGGGGAGTTGGAGCAGAGAGCTTATGCAGGGCAGGAAAAGGTGAGAATGCAATTCTGGGGATGGTCAAAGCTACTATTCATTCAGTGCTGTCCTAACTTTGAATGGTCATTGAATTAACAGATGTCAGACCACTTTTTGAATTTGGATTTTTTTTATTATTTCAAGTTTTTTAATTTTATTTTACATATAGATATCAATGCGTGAACAGTGTGGCACCTGGGTGTCATACATTCTAATACAAATAAAACTAGTAAAACTAATCATAGTTATTACATTCAACCAACTTTTATATTTCTAATAATAATACACATTTATATTAAGTTGTAGTCTATCATTATTTAATTATTCCATGGTTTAATACATTGCTCTAATACCATTCACCATATTATTTGATCATACATATTAATACCGCCATTCAATTTCTAAGCTTCTCTTTTATTATTGCTTTTATTTTATTATGTAAAAATGTATACACTAATATTTCCCCTTTCTCTTACTTCTATCTCTATTCTAACTTTTAATCATGTCACCCTTTTATTAAAAGACGTTTTCTTTCTATCCAACATCTCTCGCCCACTTTGGTGTTTTGAATCCTGTTCATTTTTAATTTATCTCCCATATTTCACTCTTTACATATATTTGTATTAAGATACAATCATTCATTATTTCATTATTCAATGTTTCAATACACAATTCTAATACCAATCCCAATATTATTTAGACATACAAAATTATTCTAATCATATTCTTTGCAATAATCAAATCTATATAATTCTGATGGTAATACACCTTTATATTAAAGTATGTTCTTTCATTATTTAATTGCTCAATGTTTCAATATATTATTCCAATGCCAATCACAATATTATTAAAGCGTACTTAATAATACCATCATTCAATCTCTAGTTTTCCCATTTTATTGTTACTTTTATTCCATTATATAAAGGTATGTATATACAAATGTTTCCCCCTTCTCTTATTTCTACCTAACTTCTAATCATGCTGAATTTGGAATTTTTGAAGGCAGTAAAAAGTATGCTTAATGTGTATTTAAAAACAAACTACACAGAGTCCTTAACTTACAAACATTCATTTAGTGATCATTCAAAGTTACAATGGCAAGGAAGAAAAGTGAATTGTGACTATTTTTCACACTTATGACCGTTGCAGCGTCCCCTTGGTCATGTGATCAAAATTCAGATGCTTGACAACTGATTCATATTTATGATGGCTCCAGTGACTCGCTGTTATGTAAGCACCTTTTGCCATCGACGAACAAAGTCAATGGGGAAGCCAAATTCACTTATCAGCCGTGTTACTAACTGAACATATTGCAGTGATTCACTTAAGCATGGTAAGAAAGGTCGTAAAATGGAGCAAAGCTCACTTAACAACTGTCTCACTTAGCAACAGAAATTTTGAACTCCGTTATGGTCGTAACTCAAGGACTACCTGTATGGAAATGTTTAAAATCTTTGTCATTCTCAATCCATACTGTATCTGTAATAAGCTCTAGACCTGTTCTCAATTAAGTTTATATAAATTTTGCTTGGTTTCTTTCCCTCCCTTACTTTGCCACAGTATAATAAAGAAATCACAGTAATAAATACAGCAGTCGCACATTGCTCAAATACTCCTATCAGAGGAAACCTGGGCTTGAGGATCTTGCCTGGAGAACAACTTGAAGTTATAGACATCACTGAAGGAAATCAACTGATATGTCGGAATTCTGAAGGAAAATGTAAGGTTTCAAAAGGAATAAAATAGAAGAGACGAGCATAATAACTAAGCAAAAACACTGAGGGTGGGGTCAGAAATCAGAAAAGCTGATTTAAAAAAATATTTTTTTTTGAAAATTGGCCAACTTGGTTGATACAGAACTAGGATATAAAGAACTATACATCATTTTGGCACTTGAATATTTTTTTATTGTAGTTTTGAATGGTTTGTTTGTAACTCTGTGACTAAAATTTATAACAAAACCCATTCTACAGTAATGTATTTTATTTTATCTTTCCTAGATGGGTATGTGCTGTTAGAACATTTGAATTTCAGGTAAGGTTTAAAATAACTCAGTTCTTCTGAGACACGGGATTAGCTAAAATCAGAACCTGGAATAATTCAAAGCTGTAGGTTTTTTTTAAATGGATGACACCATTTGTATGCTGGAATAAATATAGCATTGTGTTTTTTCCTATACCAGGCACTAGTGCTGTACAACTGAAGGCCAACACGTATGACTTTTGGAAGGATGTTGTAGGCACAATAGAGGGGAAATAGTCTGTAAGAATTTTTGTTGCTTGGGAAAGAAAACAAAAATGGAATTGTGGACAACGCACTCAGCCTGAATTCTTCAGAAGCTTACAACTGCTACTTTTTAAATGATTGTCATAAAAGTGACTTTTTTATATTTAGTGTTTGATACTCATGTTATCCTGTCCAAAGTTTATCAATCTGGGTACAGGCCGAGATACAAATAACTTAATGTCATTGTCTGTAAAAACATTTTTTTCAAACTTTGTTTCAAGTTACAACTCTTCCCAGAGCAGCTCTTTTTCGTGGCAATTGCAAATGTCACTTTGGTTCTTTGGATATTGTACAGCAATACTTAGTCTTTGTGTGCAAGACGTATTACCTGCTATCGACACATTGTTTTTGTATGTATTTTGTCAATGTTAGGAGTATCACACTTGGCTTTGTATTTAATCCTATATTTAACCAGTGTAAGAATTTGTGGACTTAGCATTTAGAAAAAAATATTGGGAGTCCATTTGATGCACTATTTTTAAATGTAAATAGGATAAATAAAGGATGAATTGGCAATTAACACATTGCTGCTAGTTGTACAGTTTGACATAAAACTTTGCAGAACTTAAACACATACTTAAAAGTGTTTACTGTTTCATTTATTTTTTAAAAAAACCAGAATTGTATCAAAGTGTGAATATTTATCAATATAATGAATACTGCAATCAGAATAAGTTTCCTCTGTGTTGGAAAGTCCTATTTGCTTTAAATCTGCTGTCAAAGGATGGAGACATAGGGCAGGAAATATAAAGGTGAAGTTCCATTGTGAAAACAGATACCTGCCTGAGCAACTTTGATGAGGAACTGGATTTACATTCTTCCATAACAACTTATGATCAGGCAACAGTGTAAAAACTTTGTCCCTACTACTGATGCCTCTCAAATAATTCTCATGATTTTTGTGACCAAGGGAAAAGCGTCATTCTAGATTCTGACTATGCCATCATTGGATATATATCTATATATCTATATATCCAGGCAGTCCTTGTTTGTGACCATTTGCAGTTAAGATGGTAATGAAAAAGTAACTTTACAACCAATCCTCACATTAATGAGCTTCCCGGGGTCCGTAAAGCAAATGAAAGCTGAAGTCGGACCATAATTACACTCACTGTTTCACTTAACAAATTGCCAGTCTCTACTGTGGTCACTAAATGAGGACTACCTATAACAAATTTGAATACCGCACAATTCAATTTAATGCAAATTATAAATTGATAACGTCATGTTATCAGCCAAATGTCAGTTAATGTGATGCTTGTCGAGTCTAGTGCATGGTAAAGCAATTAATTTTCCCAAGAATCACATAAGAAACTGGGACTGTTATGGAGGGCTGCCACTGTGGGCTGGTCAGGGACAGCCAAAGGGTCGGATGTGGCCTGCAGGTTGTAAAATGCCCAAGTGTGGTCTCGTGCAGGCTGGCTGGGGAGTTCTGGGAGTTGACGTCCTCTAGGCTTAAAGTTGCCAAGGTTGGAGACCCCTGGTCTCGCGCATGTACAGTTGCCATTGGGGTTTTAGATGCTAATTGTTGTCATGCAAACTGGAGAAAAGTTTCCATTTCAGGAAAGACCCCCCCTCATGGTACGTTATTGTCCATTAGAAAGCAACAAAAATAAATAAATCCAAAACCACTTAAAAGTAACTGAAAGGTGGTCCAGGTAACAATCTTGTTACCATTTTGGGCATTACCTACTATTTTTAAAATCTTTTACTGTGATATTTCATTAATACACATATATTTTTTTCTTAAAATTTTTCATTTCCACTTTCTATCAAGCTAGAATCAATTGCCCTGTTTTCCTTAAAAATACAGTTCAAATTTAAATAATGCAACAATGACGTTATTGGTCTACTTGTATTAAAGTAAGTCAAAGGGGTCTGAGTCTGTTGTTCAAGTCACTGGGGAAAAAAAGTGTAAAATGAACACAAGCTAACAAAAAAGACTAAGAGCATAGATATTGCACATATTTTTCAAGGTTGTGAATTATAGTATTATGGTTTTTCTTTTTCTGTGAAGAACATTACAACTAGATAAATGTAATGAATCTTGTATTATGTCATTTATCAAATGGACAACATGGACAGGCAGATTTCCACTTATCTTGCTCCAAACAAAGCAAGGCAAAACACGGGTCTCCAACCCCGGTCGTTGGATTGGCAGTGGGCCGCAGCATGCCAGAAACCTGGCCATGCAAACAAGCAAAGACTCATCCGCAGGGTGCAGGCAACACACAAAACCATGCGCCCTCCGGTCCGCCAAAAAACCTCTCTCCATGGAACTGTTCCTGGTGCCCAAAAGGTTGGGGGCATGGGTGAAATGCTACCGGTTCACACCAGTTCGGACAAACCGGTAGTAATAAAAGCTACCAGTTCACCGCAAACCAGTATTTAAAAAAAGCTACCAGTTCGTCTGAACCAGTATTTCCGACAATCAGCTATGCCGCATGATTTATATTCGCTAGAAAGCAGGAAATCCTACTTTCTAACGAATCTAAATTGCGCGGCACAGCAACCCCCCCTCGCTGTTCTACTTATCTTAAGCCTCCTTTTTCTGCGTGCAGCGTATTTAGCACGCATTGTGCATGCACATGCAGCATGTGTTTGCCGTGCACTGCGCATGCATGTGCGCAGCATGCATTTGCCGCGCACTGCGCATGTGCGGGGAGCGAACCGGTGGCAAACCACGGTGGATTTCACCCATGGTTGGGGGCCACTACAATAGGATATACATCCCAACCTATGAGTGCCAATAGGTATACTCAAAGTAGGCAAAAGTGAAGTTTGTCATCAAAAGTTGCAAATATTGCCAGGAAAAAAAAGTGGTTTTCTGCATTTGTTCTTGGTCACGGAATATTATTGTTTTTGCTTTTAATGGCAATTCCCTGGAAGCTTACGTTTTCTCTGAGCACAGTGATGAAAACATAACCACAGTATTTATATTTCTAAAATTTTAAAGTATAAAAGGGCTGAAGAGTTCACATGAGAAGCTCATGTGTTTACTTTTATAATCTGTTTATTGAAGTGCAAATGTCAAGCATGAAGTAATCATCACATGCAATGAGATACAATAAACATTTTTTCACCATAAAAATAGGTACATGAAACTTCAATTATTCTTTTTAATTATAAACCTGAAAAAAATAGTGTGCTTGGGCTGCCTTCTTCTAACTTAAATCAGCTGAACAAAGATCGGTTCAAAACGATCTGGACTACCTCCTCTATAAATAACAGTAAAACATGAAAGCATCAGTGAAACATGAAAACATCATGGGGATATTGACAAATTTTGCTGTGCCTGGTTATGCAAATCCAATGATTTTTCTTATTGCAAGCAATATCTGAGACACAACACTTTGTTTTCTTAATTTTACCAGTTGTTGTTCTTAAAAGCCACTTCTGCTAATTTCTACTTAATACCAGTCATTTTATTTCCCCCTTACTTACCTTTTAAGGAGAAACGGCCCCTTTCCTCCCCCAAACTCCTCTCTGAGTTTGTTTTAACAGTGCTATTTTCCAAAAATACAGTAGTTCCAGGATACAAATATATAGTCTATAGCTTGTATTTTGTACATTGAAGAAAAAAATAGTTCACACTGAAGAAAAAAATAGTGCTAGATATACATACATAGCAGTGTACCTTAATATGTGAAAAAAAATGTGATTTCACTTCAAATTAGGGATGAAATAATACCTGAAGACTGGTAACCATTCAAAAGTTTTATGAGTTTTACAATAATTACTTAGGAAAATGCATAGACAGACATGTCAACTTTTCCAATAAACATTATGTCACATTATTTTAGATTACTTAAGGCAGTTTCAGTAGTAGTTTCAAAGCATTTAGGGAGAACTTAACAGGCAATATTAAAATGCTTAAATTGGTAACTAACTTTTTATTAAATCTGTCAACAAATACAATTATAGATACCAAAAGCAGCATTTCCATTTACCATTCATTTCAAGGTTCACTTTCCAACTTCCTCTAGTTTTCATGAGCAGAATAATGTTTGCAGTGATGGCAGAGTTTATGAACAAACTAAAGATCCAGGGATTTGATGATCAAAAGTCATTTGGATACATATAAGGAAAAGGTTAGTGGAAGGTTTCTTTCTTCCTTTCTCAAAAGCAGCTTTTGTGAGACAAGCTACTTTTGGGGGAAAAACTAATTAATGATTTCCTTTCATAGGAATAGGTTTCTTTGTCAAGTATAGGTAGTCCTTGACTTACAACAGTTCATTTACTGACCATTCAAGATTACAACAGCACTGAAAAAAGTAGCTTATGACCATTTTTCACACCTTACAACCATTGCAGCATCCCCATGATCACGTGATCAAAATTCAGAGGCTTGGCAACTGATTCATGTTTAGGACGGTTGAGAGGTCCTTGGGTTATGCAATCACTTTTCGCGACCTTCTAACAAGCAAAGTCAATGGGAAAGCCAGATTCTCTTAACTACCATGCTACTAATTTAATAACTGCACTGATTCACTGATTCACTTATTCACTGATAACTGTGGCAAGAAAGGGGACAAAATTCACTTAACAAATGTTTCACTTAACAACAGAAATTTTAAAATAGCCCACTTGGATGTGCATTGCCGTTTGAAAGTACTGAGGAAGTGGCATTAACACTATTACTTAAGATAAATTCTGGATAGGAGTGAAAGAGGCGAGGAGAAAAAACGTATTAACATTTTAGCCAAACATATTAATGTTTTAGGTCTACATAGAAAGACTGGTGAATTAGCCATGGGCTTCCTTGATGCAGTGCTTTATGTCAAACATATGAATGTTTATGCTTTGATGGCCACTTTTCAAAAACGGGCTCCTTACAGAAGACCGTATCAAGAGAAGCAGTGCAGCTAGTCAAGAGATCAAAAGTGGAGTGAAGATCAAGTAAAACACCTCTCTGAAGATCTGAATACTCCGATGATCAAGCTCATTCTTCGTTACAGTGTGGTTTCTAAACTGACTGGTAGCACAGTCAGTAAGGTAGTCGAGGTAGTTCTTGACTTACGACCACAATTGAGCCCCAAATGTATGTTGCTAAGTGAGAAATTTGTTAAGTGAGTTTTACAAGCTTTCTTGCTGCATTTGTTAAGTGAATCATTGCGGTTGTTAACTTAGTAACAGGATTGTTAAGTGCATCTGGCTTCCCCATTGACTTTGTTTGTCAGAAGGTTGCAAAAAGGGATCAAGTGACCTCGGGACACTACGACCGTTATAAATGTGAACCAGTTATCAAGCATCCAAATGTAAATCACATGACCCTGGAGATGCTGTAACAGTCATAAGTATGAAAATGGTCACAAGTCACTTTTTCCAGTGCCGTTGTAATTTTGATCAGTCACTCACTAAACAAACTTATAAATTGAAGCCTGTAGAGATTCATAAGTCCTGCCTACTAAAACATACATTAACTACTATTAAGCTAGAACTCATCACGAATAACACTTTGGTTGCACAGCATGATTACAGTAACAAGTGTTGTCACAGGCAAATGTCATCAATTAGGCAAAGTGGTAATAGGCAGTACACTTCAAGTATTTTAAATAACCTGTACCTATGGTAATGAAGGTGATAGACTTTTCTGCAAAATGAGCAAACGTGGTACACATTCTGTCATTTTCAGCTGCTGGTGCAAAAAGGCACAATTGTCTATATTTAACTCATATTCAAAAACAACAACAGCAATGCTACTATTGAAGAAATTAAGATAATGCAGCCGCCATTGGAAAAATTTTCTTGCAAGGAAATTAACCCTACTTAAAATTCAATTTAAGTAGCCTTGTTTGAAATCCGAAACCTAAAGGATTACACCACTATTATCTGTGAATGGAAACTTGTTATATGAGCCACCACTCTCATCGTCTTTACACATTCTGTATTGATTCAAAGGGATGCTGGGCGGGGGGGGGAGGGGGAAGAATTAGTGATTTTCTAACTGGAACATGCCAATAAACCAGTGGTTGAAAATTGCACTTTTCACTTCAACAGTGTAGAAATGCATTTATCCTGTTTGTTGGGGGAAAACAACATCACTATCAATCCTCACTTAAATAGATCGGTAACAGCCACCTGAATCTATACTGAATACCACATTAGCTCTATAGCTCAAGCATTGCCCTTTCAGAAGGCAAAAGGGTAATTCATCTTAATTCTAGCCATCCTTTTGACAATTTAGTAGACGCCTGACATTTGTGTACATCCAAATTCCAAATCCCGACTCCACAATGAAAATGCAATAGTCAGGAGGGTCTTTACACGAGCAAACAAAGATAAATTTCAGTTGGCCGAAAGAGTGTAATTGTGTTGCAATCAATGATGTTTTGTTAAATTTATCTTTCACACATGCGATATTCCTAACTGATACTTATTGAATGAGTCTTACTGGTAATCAAAAAAAGACGTAAAGTGCAACATGAATGTAAAATAATAACGTGGACATTAAGCAATTGCACCTTTTCTGAAAACATCTGCTTCCATCCAGATGGATGAAACATTTTTTAGCAGGGCAGGAAAAATTTACATTCAGCTTAAATCGATAGGGATAATAACCATCCGTTTTATTAATAGAGCTTCTCTTTCCCAGCTTCTTTGCATCTCCACCTTCAACCTTCATTGGGAGCGCAGAGAGTATGTTTTTACTCCTTATGGAGTGTACCTCTGCCTTTCTAGACTTCCAAAATTTTGAGGAAAAATGAAAGTAATTCAAGTATTAGGCATACGGTAGACCAGCGGTGGGGAACTATGGCCCCCTTGTGGACTTCAACTGCCAGGCTGACCCAGGAATTCTGGGAGTTGAAGTCTACAAGTCATAAAGGGGCCATAATGCCCCACCTTTACTGTAGACCTACCTAGCTGTAAATGTCTTGAGACAGCAATTTCCAACTAACCTGGCCTTTGACCTTGCTGGTTGAGAATTCTGGGAGTTTCTGTCTCCACACAACTGAAGAATGCCAGACTGAAATATGACTTGTGATTAAAAGGAAAGCTTGGGGGCACTATGGTTACCATATATGTACTGCATATATGTACTGCAAACAGACACAAGAAAATGCCATTTGCTGCCATGTCAGAGAGATTTTCAGTCCAGCTAGGTAATCCTAGGTATGGGTTTCTTTGTCCCTGCATTAAGTGTTGATGATAGGAGAGGCTGCATACATATCAGTGGTGGGTTGCTACCGGTTCACCCTGGATCGGGTGAATCGGTAGCGGCGGTGGCAGGAGGCTCCGCCTACCCGCACGGGCGTCTCTGCACATGCACAAAAGCTTCTGCGCATGCACAAAAGCGTCATGTGCGCGCATCAGCATCTGCGCGCCCACAAGCAAACTGGTAGCGACCGAAATTGAAACCCACTACTGATACATATATTTATGTAAGAGCAAAAAGCATAATCAGACAGCATTCCTGAAATTCTAAATCCATATATCTTCATACTTAGAGGCCCATTTACACAGCCTTTCATGTTACAGGTAGTCCTTGTCCTACAAGTTACAAGAGCACTGAAAAAAGTGACTTATGACCATTTTTCATACTTATGATCATTGCAACATCCCCATGGTCACATGATCAAATTTTAGACACTTGGCAACTGACTCATATTTTTGACGGTTGCAATGTCCTGGGGTCATGGGATCACTTTTTGCAACCTCCTGACAAGCAAAGTCAATGGAGAAACCAGATTCACTTAACAATCTTGTTACTATCTTAACAACTTCAGTAATTCATTTAACAACTGTAGCAAGAACGGTCGTAAAATGGGCCAAAATTCACTTAACAACTGTCTTGCTTAGCAACAGAAATTTTGGAGTCAATTGTGGTCATAAGTCAAGGACAATTTGTACCTACATCCATGTTCAGCAAAACAGTGACTATACTTGCTATTCCTTTAATTGTATCAAAATTCATTATATGAAGGAAATCCTGTAAAATCAATATCCTCCAACAGGTAAAAAAAAACATGGGCATCTCAACAGTCATTTTAACAGATAAATGACTGTTGAGGCCATATCAAAAAATGAGAAAAGTTCAATTTTTGAATTATTTGGAAAGGCTTCATGCAAAGTTATTTGGCTAAAATTATTTTCCCATTTTGCCTAAAATAATGTTTTGACTCCATCATAGTTTATACCTACTAGATTTCAGCCTGTTATTTTTAATTCAACCTCAATTTATCAATTTATTAATATCAAGTATTATTAATATCTAGTATTAATAAATATTACCAATAGCTATTGTAAAATTAAAGCGTAGCTATTATGAGAACGAAGCATAAATAAAAACTGAAATAATGAACTACTACAGCATCTACAAAGTTTCACCCTCATGTTCAAAGAATACTACCATTTCCAGTAATAAAGTGCTTTGTTACTACACATTTAGTAAACATGATGCCTTGAGATAGCCTAAAGAAAATGAACACTAAACATAAGTCATTCCTGCTTTATCTGTACCTCAGCAAAGTCACAGGCAGTTAAGCTTTAGAAGTACACAAAAGCCCTGAGGTCTGGAACACACTGTCAAATTCATATTCCAGTTCTCATGAAATAGTATTTTAAAAGGATGCTGTCAGTACTAAAAAGGCAAAAATGTTTTCCTACTGAAGGGGAAAATGACAAAGCTTTACTCACAAAAAAGCATATCTGAAATCTAGAATTCAACAAACTCGTTATGTTTCAAAGTAATTAGTGATTAATGCCCATTAATATGTTACTTTTAAAAATGTACTGCGGACAATTTCAACACAACAGTTACATGTGATTCCCTTATGACAGATATTCTAGCCAATTTAGATAATGCCATAACTTTAAACTGCTGTACTTGTGGACTTTAAAAAGATGGAGGTTTTTGTGATTTTTTGTGATTAATAAAAATGACACAGGTCAAAATGTCACGTTTTCTGTTTATCATTGTAAAAAAAACACATCAAGACCAATGTTATGCATTCATGATGGAGCATGTCATCACCCAAGACAACTCTGGGCTGACTTTTGATTATGCACAAAGACTCGCTGAAAAAATATTCACTGCAGTGTCATTTACTGGCAATATCAAATTGGTTCTAATGCATCTCCGTTGCACAACTTTTGGCTCCATAAATTATTCTCAAATTCTGGGGATGAAGGGATGCTAGAGCCAACACAAACATTGAGATGCATATCATTTTTTTTTTTGTCCTGTGTTAGAATGTCCCTAATGATCTGGAAGTGGCAAATCAGAAATGAAGATTAAAAAACAACAAAAATGGGCATTAGTAATTGAAAGAGATTGATGATTTGAACAAAGGGTGAATTGGGAAACATCCTTGTCTGTGAAAAATCTCAAATGCATCCACTTCCACAACTGGCTTCTGCAGCAGTGCCAAAAATGCTCCCTTTGGATCAATGTTTAAAACTAAAACAAAAAGACTCCCCCATCTTTTTTTAAGAAGGATAGATTAAATATTTTGGATAGCAATGCTCTATGTTCTTATTTAAACCTAAGTCTATCCAAAGACAGTGAGATTTATTTTCTGAACAGACACGTACAGCAGGGGTTCCTCAACCCACTGTCCAGGGACCAGCATCCGTCTGCGGCATTCCAGCAACCAGTTCGCGCAAAGAAGCAACGCCCCTTCCGCGGCAGCATGTAAATCCACGCCCCCTCTGGTCCATGAAAAATCCTCTCTCCACAGAACCGGTCCCTGGTGCCCAAAAGTTTGGGGGCTGCTAACATACAGGATTACCCTACAAGTGAACGAAATATGCTGTGTGTGTAAGTAAACTTTTCTTCTCAAAACCTGCCTAAAATGAGCACCTAGCGAATATTGTTACAGACAACTAAAGCTACAGAGGCATTTAAATACTAATTAGCTTTTGAAGCAAGAAAAACTTGTCTTAAGTGCCCTGTTCTTTTTTTCACTTGAGCCTTTTCTTGACTGCGGCTAATGTTCTCTGCTACCCTCTTGTCTGAAAAGCATGGCTAGCCTGTAATTACCTTGCTTTATCAGTTTATTAGCCTTTTTTCTGAAAGAGAACATTACTAAAGGAACTCACCCCTGAAGGAAAACATTTTTTTTTCTTCCTTTCCCCACAATTCTGAATTTTATATTGTAGCTATAGACGTTTTGATCTGTTGCTGCCATGAGATTAATAAATATTGCTAATTTAAATATGCAAACCCAGCATTTTGATATATTCGATGCAAAAACGCGGCCTGAAATGATTGATGGGAGAACTAATAATGAGATAAAAAGCAGAGTGCAAATTTTGTTTATGAGATATAGTAGGTGGTCTGAATCTAACAAACGCTGGATGATGAACAGCAGAAAGGGCAAAGTGGTTATGAAAGGCTGCAGTGAAAAGAATTCCTTCAATGAAAACGGAAACTCCTTAATAAAAAAAAAAACTTTAATTAAAACTGGGGAAATGTTGCTGCTGGATAGCTTGCAAAAAGAACTGGTAACCCTGACTACCATCCACCACTCAAAAGAATTGTATTGAAGTGATTTCTGAATTTGAATGGTTTTCAACATCTAGGTTTGGGGGATTTCACATATTGAATCATTTAGTTTGATTCATCTCTGAGGACATTTTTCTACTGGGGTGAAAAACAGGTATGATGTACAATCCAGCATCAACAAAAATTTAATAAAAATGTGTTGAGATCAGGAAGAGGTTACTTATTAAGAACTGAAGTAAGAGATGTCTCTGCATTATTTGTCACTTGCTACCTCTAATAAATGCAGTTGCTTTATTTAATTTTACCACAATGTCACAAGAATCGCTTTATAATGAATAATCTAATCTCAGATTTGGAGACCTCTGATGCTCCAGGTGCTTACTTCTAGATCTCTGCTCTCGAGTCAGCAAGTCTTGAATCCTGTTCTACACTACTTAGGAGGTAGACTGCAATAATTATTTCAGATGAATCCATGAGTAGGATATAAAAGCATATTGACTTCCATGCATTCCGAAAGCATTTCTATAGAAGAAAATATATATATATGAAGCTTGGCCAAAATCATAATATATTTCCAAACTTAAATATCTAGGTCTAAATTATAATTATTTAAAATCTGATATTAAAAAAATTCAAAATTGCACTTCTCTCTGAACTACAGTCCTACCCTAAGGGTGATTTTTGCATGTTATAATACGTGGAAGAACAGCAGAGACAACCTTTTCTTCCATGAGCATAAATCTAAATTAATTCTATCTAGGATTCTATTGCTTTTGTTTTCTAAAGTAAGTTTTATTTTTTTTTAAAAAAAAAGCCTTTTGATGGTCAAGTTTTCAGGAATATTATTGCACTGTTCATTCAACGTGGCATGAATGTGATGGATTCTTCAATTGTAGAGTTTTTCAGATTTTTGACAGCAGTGCAGCATCTGATTTTGAGTGGCAGCTAGTAGAGTCCAACAGCTACCAGCTGTTGGCTGAAGTCTTCAGTCTTCACCTCTGTTAAGCACTAACTCCACTGGTCATCATTTCTACCATACCTATGAAATAACACCAACAATCCCAAATTCAATGGCAAAAATACAGCAAAATCTGCAGATAGACTTACCTAAAATGAACACCTTCGTCTTCTCTCCTAAATACCGTATATAAAGTAATTTCTGGGTACAGAATCTGATATTTGTAAGTTCAAAATGAGGCTTTCTTTGCCACAGGCCATGCCCTCCTGACTCAGCCTTGAGGACAGGGTTTACCAAGGCCTATGCTCACCCACTGAAATCAAGCCTCTGAATTATACCTGTCAGCCAGCCAGAGCCATAATGAGACTGGCACACATTTCAAAGAAATCCAGTGTATGGCTCCCAAGGCGTGGTGTCACAGAGGACATGCTCCCAGTCAAAGAGCCAGTAGGAGACCCGGGAAGTGACTGGCAATCACCAGTGGAGGAGTCAAGACTTAGTCTTGGTCTGTGCAAACGAGCTGCTGAGCTTGAGCGTTGAGGTGTAGAAGAACCCGATCTTTGTTCCACGACATCATCTTGAAAATACAGAGAAATGATTTAAAACAACTTCTTGAGCTCGCAAGAGGCTAAAATTCCCTTCTACTCTTTCGTTTTACTCCTGGCTTAGCTTTTATGATGGTGGACAATTCACCTAACAAAAGCTAGTTTGAAGAATAGACTGAGGTAAACTTCTGCTCTTATTTTATACCTCCTCTTCCCACTTTTCATCATCACCCTCCTCCTCCTCATTTCCATGAAATGGAAGCTGCTTCTACAAGCGGCCTCCTACGCAATCTCCAGACTTCTCAGACCATGTGTCAATAAGGTAAAGGTTCCCCTCGCACATATGTGCTAGTCATTCCCGACTCTAGGAGGTGGTGTTCATCTCCATTTCAAAGCCGAAGAGCCAGCTCTGTCCGAAGATGTCTCCGTGGTCATGTGGCCAGCATGACTAAACGCCAAAGGCACATGGAACACTGTTATTTTCCACCAAAGGTGGTCCCTATTTTTGTACTTGCATTTTTTACGTGCTTTCGAACTGCTAGGTTGGCAGAAGCTGGGTCAAGTAACGGGAGCTCACCCCGTTAAGTGGCGCTAGGGATTCAAACCGCTGAACTGCCGACCTTTCGATCGACAAGCTAAGCATCTTAGCCATTGAGCCACCGCGTCCCTTATGTGTCAATAGTCTCATGTAATTCCCCATTCCTCTCCACAAGTCCTAGACTTCTGATGCCTTCTTGGGAGAAGAAGAAGGAGCTGTTCTGCCATAACTTCTATTCTACAAGAGTAACACGAGAAGACGTTTTTAACTGTATTGCTGCACTTATTTCTTTCAAGTCACGCTTTTCTTCAAACATTTCACCATAATTATGCCGCTTTTATGCTCTTCACTATTCTAGATTTTTACCAAACCCTTTCCCTTCCTTTTAACTTAAATGGCTTGTAGCTGTCTTCAAAACTACTGACAGCTATTTCAACTTCAGTCCCATTGGTCTCAAGCAAAATGTTACATGTCCAAGAATAAAATCTTACATGCATATTCCATGAAGTTCAGAAAGTGTCACTATGAGATAAATCCGTGTCTTTCAAACTAGGCAGCTTTAAGAAGTGTGGATTTTAATTCCCAGAATTCACCAGCCAGAATGCTGGGTTGCCCAGTTGCCAAGTTTGAAAAATACTGAGATAACTAATTTAAGACTTTGATTTTGCTAAGACCTTTAATTTATAAATAGAAATTGGACTGAATTTTTAACAAATTTTGATCACTAGTTTACAAATCTGGGAAAGCAGTGTGTCAATCTTTTATGAAACAATTTTATGAACAAACTGCATGCATATACATTTCTTTAATTCCGTTTAGCATCTAGAATTTAGACTTCCCACCCAGAGGTGGGTTTCAGCAGGTTCTGACCAGTTCTGGAGAACCGGTAGTGGAAATTTTGAGTAGTTCGGAGAACCGGTAAATACCACCTCTGACTGGCCCCGCCCGCATCTATTCTCTGCCTCCCGAGTCCCAGCTGATCGGGAGGAAATGGGGATTTTGCAGTAACCTTCCCCTGGATTGGTGAGGGAATGGAGATTTTACGGTATCCTTCCCCTGGAATGGGGTGGGAATGGAGATTTTACAGTATCCTTCCCATGCCATGCCTACCAAGCCACGCCCACCAAGCCATGCCATGCCGACCAAGCCACGCTTACAGAACTGGTAGTAAAATTTTTTGAATCCCACCACTGATCCCACTGCATCCAAGAAAGGGAGGGGGAGAAATACGCACAATCTCTGACCTCTGAGTTTTTCGCTGTGCCCCCAAGACCCTGCTCTTCCGACAGGCAGGGCTATCTTTGTAAAGGAGTTTTAAATTCAGAGTTTTAAATTTTTGGGTTTTTAACAAATCTTGGCCGTAAATGTAATAATTTTAATAATTTTTAAATTTAATTGGGATTTGTATTGTGTTTTTTACTTGGCTGTGCACCGCCCCGAGTCCTTCGGGAGAGGGGCGGTATAGAAATAAAATTATCTATCTATCTATCTATCTATCTATCTATCTATCTATCTATCTATCATCTATCTATCTATCATCTATCTATCTATGAAGAGGTAAAAAGAAAACCAAGGAATTTGCAGATAATGGTTTTTGGAGATAATGAACTAAAAGTGATACTAATGATATGGTTTCAACATGTAGAAATAAGAATAATGGAATCATCTGGGTGGGGGTGGGGAGGAAATTCATCGCTTTTGGAGAAAATGCTATTAGGAGTTCAGAAATGGTCTGTGATCAGAAAAGGCAAGAATATTTCCTGCTGAGGGATTATTGTGAATTTTGCAAGAAGCAGAAATCTTTCTTTTTACCCATGTGTGTCATTAATCTGTCACAGTTAACACTAAGCGATGACAAATGGACTGAAGAAGTGTTGCTAAACAACAATTGTTCTGACTAGCAGAATCATAAAGTAGATATAAAGTGTGATGGGGGGGAAAGAGAAGATGGAGCTGTTTGGGGTTTGGTTTTGGGTTTTTTTAGTCTTCCTTCAAGCTTGGGAGCATTTGTTCAGAATTTCCCACCTACCATCGATGCTTTTAAAGTCCAACAGATAGCTGCGATTGTCCACCTGGTACAGCTGCAAACTCATTTTCACATAATTTCCTGTAACTGGATTCTTTCTACGCACTCGAAGGTGATAGGCATTCACCACCTAAAACAGATAATTACCATTTGAGAAAAACATAATTATGGAAAAGGAAAAAGAATGTAAATTTCATATTTCAAAAAATAATTTTGCATAAAACAAAGGAATGTAATCTCAGACGTTTATCTTCTGTAATAAATCCAGTTCAATTCAGTGGGATATACCTTTCAGGAAACTGAAAAAAATGCATCTTAACTAGTTTAATCTCAGTATTGCAGTTTGAGAAAAAAATATGAATAGGGTTTTCCACAATTCTGCAAAAAAAACTATCAATAACATTTCCTTACAGATGTTTTATAAAAGTCTCTTAAACCCTCTTAGAACCCACTTTTGGGTTTTTATTGCTAATATTTTCTATTTTAGGCACTGCTAGTATATAATGAAAGTTGGTTGAGAAAGATAAATTATTTATTCTATGTGAAAATTCTCCAAACAGCTTGCTTAATTATAGTTTTGTTCATACTGGAACTTTAGCATGTTGCTACTCTGTATTAAGATAAAAGTTATCGGGAGTTGGGTGTTTTAGAAATTTGATAGAGATAAATTAGACAGACAGACAAGAGATAGAAGAGAGTGAGAGAGAGAGAAGGAGGAAGGGAGAGAGAGGGAGAATCCCAAAGGTGATTTTTTTAGGAGGCAACTGGACTTTCTGGTTTTTCTTTGAAGACATTTCGCTTTTCACTCAAGAAGCTTCTTCAGCTCTGAAAGAAAGAAAAAGAACGAAAAAAAAAAAAAATCGAAAGCACATCAAGGAAGCCCTCAGAACATGTGGCTATCTCAATGGGCCTGGTGGTGCAGCTGGCTAATAGCCTGTTATTAACATTCAGCTGCCTGCAATTACTGCAAGTTCGAATCTCCCCAGGCTCAAGGTTGACTCAGCCTTCCATCCTTTCTAAGGTAGGTAAATTGAGGACCCAGTTTGTGGGGGCAATAAGCTGACTTTGTATAAATATACAAAAGTATGAAGGCTACTGCTTAATGCATTGTAAGCCGCCCTGAGTCACCGGAGAAGGGCGGCATATAAATCAAAATTAAAAAAAAAAAAGTGGGCCTTCATAAAATCACACACACACAAAAAGACCCTACAGAAGCTCCTTCATAATACGTTGCAGGCATATTGGAAAAGCTCAGGAGGATCTTCAGCCAATATAACATACTGTATTGTGCACTTCAAACCCAAGAATACACTAAGGCAGAAACTTGTCCACCCCAAAGATAAAATGCTCAGACACAAACTGAGCAACATCATATATGCAGTACAATGCAGTGAGCCATGTGCAGATCTGTACATTGGGGAAACAAAACAACCACTTCATAAACACATAGGAGAACAAACACATCAGGACTAGATTCAGCAGTCCACCTGCATTTCAGAGACAAAGGCCACTCTTTTGAAGGCAGCAAAGTCCACATTTTGGACAGAGAGGACTGCCTGGTTTGAAAGAGGGGTCAAAGAAACCATCTGTGTCAAAACTGAACAGCCCTCTCCCAACAGAGGGGGTGGGATACGACATCATCTATCTCCCGTCTACAACACAGTCATTTCAACAGTTCCAAGAAGGCTCCACACCCATTTGCACCACTCAGGTCACAGATAAATCTCCAGGTGACCTTAACGACTAGCTAAAAGAATGCAAAGGACCAGCTGTCTGCAAGGAGTATAAATCTTTCCATTACCCACCATCTAGTCAGAGCTGAAGAAGTTTCTTGGATGAGAAGCGAAACGTCTTCAAAGAAAAACCAGAAAGTCCAGTTGCCTCCTGAAAAACCACCTTTGGGACAACCATGACCTGAATGACTGAGAATCTCCGTAGACAGAAAGAGAGAATAAATAAAAAGTTAAGCTTTCCTGAACAGATTATGGATTCTAAGACTTAACTCTCTAGGAAGAAAAACTGTATACCAAAATATAAAATATTATTTGGGGGCAGTCAATGCATGCTATTAAATAATATTCTATAGGGGAGAAAGTCAGGATGAACAGAAATAAAAAAATATACTGCCTCTGTTCGGGCTCTTTGTCCATGAGATTTTAATCAATTAGACAGTGTTTATGTTCAAGCTTTATTCCCATGTGATACATGATACATATAATTTTCAACATATAAACAGCCTGATTCTTCATCTGTGGTTTTCAAGGAACATATATAAAAACTATAGAAAAGGGATTCCTTTCCATTGTGTTTATCAGGCAGTGGAACACAAGTGCTAGTCTTTACTAGCCATCTCCTCTGCAGAAGAAAATGCGATGGTTGGAAATCCGGATCAGCTGCTAAGTGCCCAGATTGCGATTGTGTGACCTTCGAGGTGCTCCGATGGTCAGAATTTTGAGGACCGGCTGTGAGTATTACTCGTTTAATGCTGTTGCAAGTTTAAATGGTCACCGAATGAGTGATTGTTAAATAAGGATCACATATATTTAACCATTCAGAACAAGGGATAAGCTTGGCACAGTGGCTGCAGCGGGTGTGTGAAAATGAGACGTGCCCAGCCTCTGCCGCCTGCCCTGCCCAACACCGCTAACCCGATTGTCCCGAACACACCCGCCGCCACCAAACAGCCCATGGCGGCAGCAGCGGGTGCTGTGAAAATGGAATGCACTTGGCCTCTGCTGCTGCCCGCCCAATCCCTGAATGGCCCAAACACTGCCATAAATAGCTCACGGCAGAGAGGTGTATGAAAATCGGACGCCTCCAGCTGTCACCACTCTGTGCTCTGCCCACCTGGCTCTCCTTCCAGCTGCCTGTGGCAAGTTTTCCCTATGGCCAATTGACCACACTGAGTTGCCCTGCAACAACTTGGTGGTAGCGAGCTGGCCAAATTGAGCTGGCTGTGCAGAGCTACACCAGACCAGAGGTGGGCTTCACATAATTTAACAACCTATTTGCCCCAGCACCGAAATGGTCCGTGATCAGAAAAGGCTTGGGTGCAGCCTTCTGCGCATGTGCTTTGCTGGCGCATGCACTTGCATGCATGTGCATGGCTTTAAAAACGCAGCTAAATAGGACGGCATAGCGCCAGGTGACAACTACCGGTTTGCCCGAACTGGTCCGAACTGACTGAATCCCATCCCTGCTCCAGACCCCATCATATGGGTAGAAACTCACTTAACAACTATTTTGCTTTGCAATGGAAATTTTGGGCTCAATTGTGGTCATAATCCGAGGACTATTTGTATACAGGTAGTCCTCGATTTCCAACAGTTGGTTTAGTGACCGTTTGAAATTAGAACGTCACTGAAAAAAGTGACTTATGACCATTTTTCACCCTTACAACCATTGCAACATCCCCATGGTCATGTAGTCAAAATTCAGACAGTTGATGACTGACTTATATTTATTATGATTGCAGTGTCCCAGGGACATGCGATCCCTTTTTGCAAGCTTCTGACAAGCAAAGTCAATGCGGAAGCCAGATTCACTTAACAACCAAGTTACTAATTTAACAACTGCAGTGATTCAGTTAACAACTGTGTCAAGAAAGGTCATAAAATAGGGCAAAACTCATTTAACAAATGTCTCATTTAGCAACGTAAATTTTGGGCTCAATTGTAGTTGTAAATCGAGGACTACCTGTAGATCATAAAATTAATAAAAGTAGGAGAAACAGGAACCTCAAAAAAGATCTCTGTCTGATGCTGACTTTACGTGTCAGAAGATTGCAAAAACATGGCCCCAGGATATTGCAACCATCATAAATACATGCCAGTTGCCAAGCATTGAAATATTGATCACGTGATGGTGGGGATGCTGCAATGGTCGCAAGTGTGAAAAATGGTCATAAGTGTTCTGACCCAGAACACTTATGGGTACTTGCTACGCATTAGCAAGTAATGATAAGTTGCTTACTCACGAATAAACCCAAACCCCTTTTCAAACAGGGTAGAAACCGTATTTTATTCATATGGATAAACAAAAAACCAAATGTAAATTAGTCCCAGCTGACCTGGTTCTGGCCTAGAAATCCGAATTGCTTGCTGTATCCTAAAAACGAACTCCCAAACCCCTCCTATTTATTTCCCAGCAAGGAAGGGCCTGGCTATCGTCCATGTCTGCTTTTCCTTGAGAGCCAGCTTACTGCTTTCCTTTGTTTGTTTGTTTATTTATTTATTTTAGTTTGTCAAACATGTACAAGATAACAGGTATAAGTATAAACATGGACATGAACATAGAAAATGAGTACAAATAAATGGGGACAGTAGGACAGGGATGGTAGGCACACTGGTGCGCTTATGTACGCCCCCTTTACGGTCCTCTCAGGAATGGGGTGAAGTCCATGGTGGACAGTTTAAGATTGAAGCTGTGGAGGTTTGAGGATGTAACAACAGAGTCAAGTAGAGGATTCCAGGCGTTGACCACTCTGTTGCTGAAGTCGTATTTTCTGCAATCAAGTTTGGAGCAGTTTACCTTGAGTTTGTATCTATTGTTTGCCCGTGTATTATTGAGGTTGATGCTGAAGTGATTGTTGACAGGTAGCAATTTGCTCTCTCTCTTTTCCTCTTTGAGAATAGGCACATCTGGGATGGGCCCAATCTGTTCCTCCCTGTTGTGACCCAGGCCCAAGTAGGTATTATCAGACTCAATCAGTTCGAAAACAAACAGACTTTATTAGAACAGCTGAGAATTAACTCATTCTCAGCATGGTCCAAACTAATTCAAAACAAATTCTTCATAACACAATTCTTCAGCCTTATCACCAACCTTGGTCTAATTAGGCAATCTGCCAAAGGCTTTTCTTGGCAAAAGTTCAGAAGCAGAAGATGTCGACAAGAAATAAATGCAGCAAGACAAGAAACAAATCTATCAACATTGTTTTCTGACAAAGAGCCCAAGAGCCGTTGCTGATCTTTTAAGCCTTATGGGAGGGGCCAATCATCTCTTGGCCCTACTCCCGAGTCATCCCCTTTGCCTCAGCTGCTCTTGCCTTCTGGCAGCTCTTCTCATGCGTGCACTAGGAACAGGATCTGGAGGCTCCGGAGTCCGCACATCACTCCCAGATGGCCCTGGCCCCATTTCTGCCTCCGACGCAGAGCCCTCATCCAGGCCTTCCCCAGTCTCCAAGACTGGCCCATGTTCTTCCTCAGCCTCCTCACTGCCCGACTCCACTGCCAGCTCCGCAGGGTGCTGGCGGACCACAACACTCCCCCTCATTCAGCTCAGGCCCCAAAGACAGTTGCCTCTCCACCTGGGGGAGGACAGAAGGCCCCAGCTCTGCCTTTGATGCTGTTTCCTTATCAGAGCCTTCCAAAGGCTCCGAAGCTGGCCCACACTCTCCGTCCAGCTTCTCCTCGTCTGACTGCTGCTAGCTCTGCTGGCAGCTGACAGGCCACAACAAGAAGTCACTTTTTTCAGTGCCTTTGTAATGTTGAATGGTCACTAAAGAAATGGTTGTAAATCAAGGACTACCTATAATATACTATTATTTAATCTGTTTTATGAGCGTTAAGCCTTAGCTGATTTTTGACTGTAACCAATAAAACTAAATTAAACTGATACAAGCCTCCCTGGATACATCCAAATGTAGCATTCACATGCTTTCGATGAAAATGTACATAAATACATAAAATTCATGGATTACTCATCTGAAAAGCCTTGAAGAACCGCACGGCACTGCTACTCTTACCTTCCACTCAAAATCCAGATGTTTCATGGCCCGGTAAACTTCAGCCATGATATCGTAAGGCTTGCTTTGACTTCGTATTCCTAAATGCCACTTGGCTTTTTTCACAGTCGATGGTTTTGGCTTAGTGGTGTTTAAAGCATCCAAAGAGCTTTTTGCTTTGGGACTATCCGCAATGAGAGGCGGCATCCTTTCCGGATGAGGTTTCACCCCTGGGGGGATATGCATAGAGTCATCCATAAAAGAACCACTGGGTGGGCTGGAGGCGAGGTAGAACTCACTGGCCTGATTCATGATTCTCCGGTTGTCAATGATCAGGTGATAAGCAACCGCAAGCTGGTCTTGAGGATCTCCACTGTACAAGCTGGCCATCACTTCTGACTCGGTGCATTCAAATTTCTCACACACTTCCCTCACAGCATCATCATCCATGACATTGGCGTCATACGATGGATCTTCTGGGAACAAATAACTGGGCAGATCTTGCTTGAACCATTCGTGTTCTCTAGAAGAAAATAAAAATGTTACTCCACTTAGAACAATACCATTTGTTAACAGTGTATTGAAATCTCTTTCAAACTCCCAAATGGTCTTTATCATGTTAAGCAAATTTTCAGGACAGTTGGAAGCGATTGGAAAGTCTTGAGATTACTCGATTCTCGGAGCAGCAGATGTGCTATTCTTGTGGCATTTTTTTATTATTATTATCACATTAATCACCCCACATCTCTGAACCATTCTTCAGTATTCCTCACTGCCCAAACTTTCTGATATGAAAAAGTTTCTGTCTAAGGCAGGGGTGTCAAACTGGATTTCTTCGAGGGCCAGATCAGCATTGTAGTTCTCTTCTGTGGGCCAGCCAGGGGGGAAAGAGGAGATGGATGCTTCCTGCAGCACCCTGCTGGCCAAAATGGGGTGGGGGAGCCACATGCAGCCCCTACACATCCCGTTTTAGCCAGCAGGGTGCTGCAGGCTGTTCAGGCCAAAAATGGGGTGCAGGAAGGCCACATGCAGCTCCCCATGCCCCATTTTGGCTGCCAGAGGCACCGGGGACCAGTCCTTTGCTATTTCCAGACCGGCTCCGCGGGCCAGATTTAATTACCCAGCGGGATGGATCCTTGAGTTTGACATCCCTGTTCAATTTAACTGAAGTATGAAAACCCAGAAATACTTCAGAATGCTGGAAAGATGCATATAAAAAAAGACATCACATTTAATCATCTTATAACTACATTAATGCAAGGTCCCTCCATCTCCCTGAGGATTTTATTGAAATGTTATCCTTTGCAAGAAAGAAATGAAAACAATTTCTTTTCCATCAAATTAAGACAGTATTTTAAAACAAACCAGTCATGGAAGAGAAAATGTTAAATGGTGATAACAATTACATATGCTTGCACATGTCCAGTTTTAATGGCCAGAGGGTTATGTCTGATTTAGGACTGATTCGTGTGTTCTTGATAAACCTCTTGATAGATATGAAAAAATAATTGTAGAATACACTCAGCCAAGAAACTGTTGAATCCAAGGAAAAGGGGAACTTTAATTTGACCTAGAGTTTATTAATATGAAAGAGATCCCGTGTATCCCCCAACAGAACATACATGCACAATCAATAGTTCAAACCACATATTGCATGAAGATTTCAGAGTTTTGGAATGTGACACACCTGGAGATACTGAAATACGGCTGAAACAAAGGACAGAAATCCAGTCCATGGAGTGGTATATTAGTTGTAGACTACCATCCTATAATTAAGGCTCTTATACATATTATGTGTTTTTTTTTAGCTAAACAGTTTTGCAACTTATTAAAATGTACCTTTATTACATGCTACTTCATTTACGTTCAATTTTATTATTCAAGATTATTTTAAATCTCATTTCAGGTTTTCTAATAACTGTCTGTGGAGACTCCAAATTCAATTTATTTTAATTTAATTAACAATTTTCAGCCTACGTTTAATCAGATTGGAAATGATTGTGCAACCTCTTTCTAGTTATCAAATTACACAATCAAATTCTTCTGACAATCCTCTTCTTTCTTACTTTAGAAAAATGTTAATCAGCGGCATGTTAGAATTTTGGCACAGGCTTACCGTATGTCTTTGATGGTGGCTCGTTTGAGTGGATCAACCTGCAGCATATGCATCAGCAGGGTTGCTATTGAACGGTTGAGGTATTCAGGAATGTAGAAGACGCCTCCCCGGATTTTTTTAAACAGGGTTGGAACATGATCATCATCAAAAGGAAGAGTCCCACAGAGGAGAGCATAAAGAATAACACCACAGCTCCAGATATCAACTTCTGGGCCAGCATACAATCTGAAGAAAAGAAAAATGTCATTAATCTATGTCTTAATGTAATATTAAATAGTTGGGAGAAGAAGAGGAAAGCAGTGCTAAATAATTGCCTTCACTCAAAATGAAGACCAGAAATTATAGAACCCTCCTCCTCCTTCTCTTGATCAGTTTGTGTTGATACCTCTCCTTTTTTTTTATCTCTCTTCAAACCTTCTCCAAGTATTCCTAATATATTCTTTGGCACTCCAGGTTGTTGATACTTAGCAACGTGGTACAGAAGAATCTGTTTGGTCATGTTTTATCAGCTAAATTGAAATAAAATGTTTCTACCTATTGGTCAACTCATGGTATCTGCCACCCTCTTTTTTAGCCTGTTGTTTCTTTTTTAAAATAAAATCATGTAGCTCTAATTACCTAAATAAATTAATAACATAAACCATTTCGCTTCATTCCCCAAGCATTTCAACATGCAATCATTTCCTTCATCTTCTACCTTCCAGAGATTACTTCTGGTGCTGCATAGTTGGGTGAGCCACAGCTGGTTCTCAGGAATTCACCATCTGACATCATATTGGACAGTCCTAAAAAAAGAAAACTGTTTAGGTAGTCACCTCAGTGGTGAAATCCGGCCGGATATATCCGGCTCACGCAAACAGGTAGGGCCAGTGCCAGGAGGCTCCACCCACCCGCTGGGACGTCATTACGTCCTATTTTTGATCCTCTGCACATGCGCAGAGGAGGCATGCATGCTCACACTCCCAAACCAGTAGTGAAGGTAAGTGCATTTCACTGCTGAGTCACCTATATAGATGAAGCCTAAAGGTAGAAGAACTCAAACTGGGAAATTACAGTTGGAATGGAATGGAATGGAATGGAATGGAATGGAATGGAATGGAATAGAATAGAATAGAATAGAATAGAATAGAATAGAATAGAATAGAACCAACTATAAAATAATAAGAAATGAATCCTAGAGCTATGCCTCTTTTTTTCTTACAAACTAAACAGCCACCAAGCAATAAAACTGCTTGGTTATGGTTTGGTCCAAGGATGTCAGCTTCTTCTAGACATTTCCTTCATATATATAGAATCTCATTTTTCATACAGACTCCTGCATCCAAATTAATCCTACCAATAATTAAATTTTGCACACAGAGACCTAGAGGAAAAAGTTCTGGATGTCCAGACAAACATCCATGGAATATTCTTATTTATCTAGCCTGAAGATGAGCATTAGTTTAAGTAACATGTTTTTATATTCTGCCATTTCTATTTGAAAGGGCAGTGAAACAGAAGAGAGGGAAAAAATGGAAATTATTTATTTCAAAAGTACGTTTACTGGCTTGTATTTAAAAAATCAATTAGTTACAGTATTTTGGTCACTTAAGACTGCTCTATCACTAGATATTTTTGTAAATATATTTTCTTCATTGTTGTAGGAAAGCAAAGGGAGCTGGGAAAACACCTGCCACCACTGATAATTCACAATGTATTTTCCAATGAGGTTACTAACAAAAGCAATTTAGGATGTAGTGAAGTTCACATGGCTGAATATTACTCCCCATAAAATAAATAATAGAAAGATAGTTGTTCTGGAACTGGCTCAGAATCTGCATGGAATCTAACTTCCTAATTTTGTTATTGTTCTGTTGAAAACCTTTCAGCCATGGAGTTTCTTTACCTAGAGTTTACTACCTTGGAGAAGATTAAGCCAATGTTTTCAGTTAAAAGAGCTCTTCACAGTAACACAGAAGCTTCTAACGGTGATGGAAAATAACACTGAGTTCCCTGAAAGATGTTAACATTGACACAGTCCAGGGAATGGCTCGTAGCCAATTACATTTTTGGAATGCTATTAGGGTCACATACCAAAATCAGCTATCTTGGCATTCATGTGTGCATCCAGCAGCACATTCTCTGGTTTCAGATCTCTATGAACCACCATATGCCTATGGCAGTAATCCACAGCTGACAGAATTTGCTGGAAGAGGCGCCTGGCTTCAGCTTCTTCTACCTGCAACAACAACAACAAAAGCAAATAAATGCTCTAGGACACGGGTGTCAAACTCGCCGTGTCACGTTGCCATCAAGTGATATTTTGTGATATTTTTTCCCATTTGTGGAGCTGGGGTGGGCATGGCCTGCATGTGATGCATCCGCCCCACAGGCCGCCAGTTTGACACCCCTGCTCTAGGATTTTCTGTATGCCACTCAACAATGTAGCAATCCTCTCTTGGGTAGCCACAAGACAAATTTAGAATTACAGTAGGGTTACTAGCACTAAATTAAAAAACAACAAGAGGTGATATTTTTACACAGGTTCTGAAAATTGAGGCTGTCAAACAATTAAGCGTCTCCTCATCTGGTTCTCTCTGGGTTTTCCCTATATGGCCCAGACCACATCATTTAGAGACCAGTCTAGAGGAAATACTTAATTTTGGATTAAATTTAGATTTTATTTGTCACAAAGTCTGGCCTTTTTAACTGTGTGTGTGTGTGTGTGTGTGTGTGTGTGTGTATTTGTTTTCTCAGGTTTTCGCGGGTGTTTGTATGTAGGTCTTTGTTTATGAATCCTAGAAACTGAAGGAACAGTGAGAAATTCTCCAAATGCTGGGGGGAATGAGTTATGATCAAGCAAGAGATTTGCTGATGGGGATACTCAGGAGGAACAAGGTAGCACTTCTGCAAGGGCAGGATTTGATTACGCAATTTGCAAACAACATACCATATTTTTCGGAGTACAAGACGCACCTTTTTCCCCCAAAAAAGAGGGTGAAAATCTGGGTGCGTCTTATACGCCGAATGTAGTCCCGTCCAGCCTTGTAAACAGAGATTTCAGAGGCTGAAAAAAAAACTCTGAAAGAAGCTTCAGAAAAAAAGCCTCTGAAAGGCTTTTATCTAAAATAATATGGCAAGCAACAAAAGAAGATTCAGTAAAGGTTCTAACCAAACTATGTTAACAAATCTGGAGAATGACACAATAACCAACAGATCTGAAGAGGTTAATCTACATACCAATATCAAAGAAAGGAGATTGAACAGAGTACAGCTAGTCCTTCAGAATAAAAGCCTCTGAAAGAAGCTTCAGAAAAAAAGCCTTTTTTTCTGAAGCTCTGTTTCGGAGGCTTTCAGAGGCAGAAAAAAAGTTTTTTCTGAAACCGAGTTTCAGAAGTTTCAGAGGCAGAAAAAAAAAAGCAAGGCACAGAGCTCACAACCAACGAACCTGTTGCTAAAATTCACCTCTGGAAACAGCTCATTGGGGGTATTCCAAGAGGACGATCCACCCACCAATGAGCTTTTTTCTTATTTTCCTCCCCAAAAACTAAGGTGTGTTTTATACTCCGGTGCGTCTTATACTCTGAAAAATACGGTAATAAGACAAAGAAGCAGATTTCTTCCCGAAGTATTGTGGAGTGTTTACAGTGGAAAAGATGAGATAGAAACGGTACCCCAGAAGTAGCAAATGGTGTTGTCACATGGAAGATAGTCACCAGAGGCCTTTCCCTTTTATTTTTGTGTGCAACTATATTTTATACTGTTTTTATGTAATTTTATGTAACTTAAAAATCTTTTATTTCATTATAATCTAAAGGAACGTAATGAATTTTTGATACTGGTCTGTGATTGTAATAAAACTGATTGCTGAACTGACAAGTCCAGTCATTCCCAAACCTCATGCCCACTAGCTCAAGTGAGCTGGGATGAAAGATATAATAAAACACATCTGGAGGCAAACTAGACCAAGGTTTTAAAACTGTGATGATCAAAGAATCGATGTATTGCTGCATAATCGTCTCCAAGAATTTTCCAAAGATCTATAGACATTCATAAATGATCTTGCACATTTTTGTGCCTACTCCTTATCCGACACCTAACATAAGGCACAGCCAGTAAATGCAGCTAAGTGTTTTTACATCTTATCTGTTTTAAGATCAGGACTGGAGTCACTGATCTGCATAAAAGAGACGTTTACCTTGCTGATACTGTTGCTGCTATCTATGGGCTGCTTCATCCTCTCACACAGCAGGATGAGAACAAATAGTGATGCTAGCAAGGAGAAGGATCAGCAGCTGCTATGACGTGTTTTCATGCCCAGTCATTCCCAAGCACATATACAAGCAGCAGTAATGACAAGTGAAGGACTTCCTAAAACAGCTATCCTGCTTTCAGCGGCAACCAACATATTCTGAAATCTCCCTTCAAGAATAATTGTATACTTTATTTATTTATTTATGAAAAGAGTTTTTTTATTTTATTTCTTATAAATATATTGTAAATGTACATTCTCTTATCCATAATTAATCCCACATATACATATATTTTCTAAAGAATTTTTTTTTTAAATTATATTCGGGGTTGCTCTTCTACCCTTTCTTCTCCCTTATTTTACAACAATCCTTCTCCTTCTTCTGTCTTTCCCTTCCCTGCCTTCTTCTATCCTTTTCTACTTTCTTCTTTCCTCCTCCCTTTTCTCTTCTCTACTTCCCCTTCCTTTCCCCCAGAGATGGGTTTCAGCAGGTTCTGACCAGTTCTGGAGAACCGGTAGTGGAAATTTTGAGTAGTTCGGAGAACCAGTAGTAAAAATTCTGACTGGTCCTGCCCCCATCTATTCTCTGCCTCCCAAGTCCCAGCTGATCGGGAGGAAATGGGGATTTTGCAGTAACCTTCCCCTGGAGTGGAGTGGGAACAGAGATTTTACAGTATCCTTCCCCTGCCACACCCACCAAGCCACACCCACCAAGCCACACCCACGCCCACCAAGCCACACCCACAGAACCAGTAGTAAAAAAAAATTTGAAACCCACCACTGCTTTCCCCCCTTTTCCCTTCTTTCCCCCCTTTCTAACCATCTCTCCTACTCTTTTTCCCCTCCATTTCCTCATCTCCTTTTCCCTCTCTTCTGTTCCTCTCTCTCCTTCTCCATCCTATCTTACCCTCTACTCCTCTCTCCATTCTCTCTCCTTTGTTGTCCAATATTTCCCTTATTGGTATCCGAGCAGCCCCGATTTTCTATTCTTTTCAATTTCTTTTCTATTTTACCAATTACACATATATCATCATGGTTGTACATTTAAAAAAAAAAGAATAATTGTGTACAAGTATAGTCTAGGAAAATGTCAGATTGTTATTTCTGAAAACAGACCTTGATGTTTGACAACAAATTCCCTAACATCTTATGCTTACAGTCCCATTCTTTTGAGCACACAGAGTATATTGAAAACTTTTGCTCCAGAACCAACTCTATTTTTTTTATAAAATCTAATCCCAAAGTATTGAGTTTTATTCTAATTATGGCTTTATCCTGGCTTGATTTACGTAGCTTCTATTAAACCAAAATACAGTTTCCTGAGCTTAGACAGCATAAGAAATCCTTGCATTTCACCTTTGATGCAATTGTTGATTTTAAAATACAGGGGGGGAAATGGAAGTATAAGATCTATGTCTAATATAATTAAAAAAAAACCCAAAATGATCTAAAATCTACCCCTTTAAAAATGGGAAGGAACCACACGAGTGATTCAGATCTATCCATTTCGCATTGCTTAGACACGACATCAGAACAAGTCTGGTGTTCCTACGGCTTGGTTCCTGTAATATTTTATGTTAAAAAAAAACCCCAAATGTAAATTTTCAAAATGAGCTCTGCGTACATTTTATATGTGTAAATAATAAAAAAATTACATCTTCCAGTATTCTGAAGTAGAACCAGAAGATGAAAAATAGGATGAAGAGACAGAGTACTATGATGGTAGAAAAGACTATTGCACTTTGGTCTATAGGTTGTGTGAGTTCACATTTTTAAAAAATATTATGCATAAAACCCAGAAGCAATTCCCTGGGGAGGGTTCAGCAAAGGGCAGTTTAAGTCAAATCCTTCTAAATGATGTATCTGCAGAGAGAAGTTAATTTTCACACAAGAAGTGTTTTAAGTATACTATTGAAACTTCAAGCTACAAGATGTCATCAATTACAACAAGACAACCTAATTTGGCTTTGTCTGTTTATAGAGAATGATGTAGCTGAGTTCAAAACTAAAGTGGAATTACTTCATTAATTAATGAGCCTTATCAGCTGATTATAATGATAGAATAATCAAAATAACTGCATACTTTACATTTTATAATTAACTATTATATAACACATTCATCACTGACTAAATTTATAAACAGTAGACTAAACTACAAAAATGCAAAATAATGGTAGCAAATGTTACTCCTATACTAGATTTATATAATATGCATGAGGAAGCATTTTGCTCTCCTAATATTTTCCAAAGATTTTTAAAAAAGGAGAGAAAGAAAAAGACATTTAATAATCCAACCTATGAATTGGAGCAATAAAAATTAAATCTGTTTTTACTTTACAAATGACTTAGATTCTCTTATAATGCTTATCAATAATTCTATTTTGAAAAGAAAAAGGAAAAAAAATCCAAAGAATAAAGTACTTGCGAATTGTATTATTTGTCTATAAAACATGTTTTTGCTGAAGCATTTGTGCTATTCTTAGCCTGAATTCTTATTCATATTATATATGGCTCATTTGCTAGTAATCATATCACTAACTAAACACACCTATAAAGCTTTCCACAAAACCAAATAAATTTTAAGATTGTGTGAAATGACAGCTGTACCTATGTTTGCATGTTTCTACAAAGTCAGATGAACTATTATCTCCAAATCATTGTTACTGTATATTTAACAGAAATCAGTGGCATGGTGTAAAGCAGTGTTTCTTAACCTTGGCTACTTTAGGAAGACTGGATTTCAACTCCCAGAATTCCCCCATGCTGGCTGGAGAATTCCAGGAGTTGAAGTCCAGACCTCTAAAAGTGGCCAAGGTTGAGAAACACTGATGTAAAGTAAACCATTGGGCTGTAGATGATTTAAAACAGGCCTGTGAAACTCCCGGCCCGTTGGCTGGATGCGTCATGTTCTGGCCACGCCCATGCCCAGTTTAGCGAAGCGGAAAAAAGTCCCGATACGTCACGTAACGCTGCTGTGACGATGTGACTTTGACACTCCTGATTTAAAACAAAACAGAGTGATGGAGGTTGCTTCTGCTTAGCATTTATATTAATTTCCAATTATTTAAGATATATTCAGTTTGAGCTATGATGATTAGTAGAATTGCTGAATTGTAAAACTGCATAGCAACCTTCCCCAATCTGAAGTTTATTTGATGTGTTGGACTTTAACATCATCATCCAAGTGAACATGGTCTCTTTAACTTGTTAAATGCAATGCATCTGGTAAGCACCAGATGGGGAAGAGTATTGTAGCCAATAGCTACAATAAAGGAAGAAATATACATCAGTGATTTGATTCAATAGCAAGCCATTTTACATATGGCTAATAGGCTTGGCCTATTCTCGATCTTACTGACTTAAAAGACTCCAATTTAGCAAAGCAATTCTATTTTCCACTGTTGTCTCTTTGTCCTTTCACCACATGCATTTTTATTCCAACCAGATAAGACACTTACATGTCCATGTTTACAGATATAATCAAACAATTCTCCACCAGACACATATTCCATCACCATGAAAAAATCAGTAGGGGTGCTGATCACCTGATACCTATTGAAAACATACAAGAAAATAATAGCATCTTAATTGTTTTTGCTAGACGAAGTTCCTAAGACCCCTTGTCTACTCTTAAAGCAGTCCTTAACAAAATCACTGGAATTTACTTTCTATATAATTGCTTTTCACTTCTAAAGGACAAATTGCTCCCTTTTTTTGCAGTGCAAATATAAACTCCTTTGGGACTGCTCAATTAAACTGTTTGATAGATCTTCATTCTTCCTACTCCACCCCCTACATTAAACTTCTCCACTCCTCTAAGATCTTTGTTCAATAAATCTTCTCAGAACTAATATTCTGAATGTTGCAACAAGAGAAAATTAAGACACTTCAGATTCAAAACTCAAAATATGTTAGTATACCAGGGGTGGGTTGCTGCTGGTTCGCTGGTAGTAATAACCTAACTGAATCCCAATATATATTTTGCTGGCTGAGTTTCAAAAAGAAGAATATCCATACAAGTATTCTATGGACATGGGAGTAAATTCAATAAAAGAGCAATAAAATTTACTTTGTGATTCCAACGTTTAATTTATATTATTCTTAAACATATTAGAAATACAGCAAAATACCTGCAATACAGAAATATGTATTTCACACATTTTTGTATTCTGCTACAAAGAGAATAAGACTTAGTACACTTACAGTTTGATAATATGGGGATGCCTGAAAAGTTTTAAATTTTGGATTTCTCGTTTGATCTTTCCAACAACATCCAAACTACGAATTTTTTGCCTGTTTAAAATTTTCACTGCTACTTTATGCCCAGTAAGCTGGTGTTCTCCAACTAAATAAAAGAAAAAAAGTTGAATGTTAATTTCTGCTTACATAAAACAGGTTACTGATTTGTGAGATGCATCACTTATATACTAACACTACAATAAAATAAACCTCCCTTTTTTATGACCCTGTAATCCCTTAATTCAGGGTAGTCAGGGCGACTGGGTGGATGTCGTTCCTGATGCTACACAGCAGGTATTTTTTTCTTTGTGCCCTGAAAGAGAAAAAACTGCTGCTACCTAGGATTGAACTCTCAACCTTCTGAGCAGGAGGCCAGCATCTTTGCCACTAGGCCATCATGTTGCTAAGGACTGTATTAACACCTCAATCTCTACTCAGAAAAAAGTTTTCCTGGGTTTTGCCAGACTGTATTTCATGTAAATATTTTAAAAACTGCAATTTCTGCAAGGCAATGAAATCCTACCAAATTAATTGGAGTTAATGGAACTTACTGTATTCTTGAGTTGGTATATATGGAATTGCATTGTGACATAAATATGAAAATGCAGTTTATTCCAAATCTGTGTATTTATCTTTCTGGAAGTTACATTATTCCAAAACCAATAGTTAAGATATTGGTTGTGGATAAGTTTGTCTAATAATAACTTTTGCAACTTTGATAAAAGTAGTGACAAAAATATAAATTAAGTCTGAGTTGAAATGCTTTTTCTTACATCAAGGGCAGCACACAATTCATAAGTTTTAAAGAACAGTACTATATCATGATTTTTTTTATACATACCACCAAAAGAAGCCATTTTTTTGTTCAGTTCACTTACTAGCAATGACAACTGTGCAGTGAAGGAAAGTAGGTACCAGTTTGCCTCTCTGTATAAATGCGATAAAGGACATGTCGCTGGTGACATGACATTGTTAAGAGCCAAGGCAGAATGCCCAAAAAGATTTGCCACATGATGACTTCTAAAGCTACTTTAATACTGCTTTGACTCTAATTTTAAAAAAAAAGTACGGAAGAACAGTATCCTGCAGCAATTTGGTTATCGCCACTCTCAAGTTCATTAATAACGAGAGGAGAAAGCTTTCATCATTTCTTCTTTTGTGAATGCTATTTTCAACTAATTATTTGCATTAATTAGGGCAGCCTTGCTTTACCAACCTTCTTCAATATTATTTTGTATTATAATACCCCACCCACCCATCCCTGACCAAAATTGGTTGTGCTAGCTCAAACTGATAGGAGGTGTAATTCAAAATCATCAAGATTTTTGTACATGTGCTTCTGTCCACCTGTCTTTCAACAGGCCACCTGCTGCATAAAATTATTTACAGCATTTCATTATTTAACTGAGTTCTATTAAAAGCTTTCTCTCATCCATTTGCTATTGGTTGCAAAACTTTCCATTTTATACGTTTTGAAACCAAAGGATGGCATGTTTCAGTTTAAGATGCACAATTAAGAAAGAAAAAAAATCTAAATTCTTACAGTATGTTTATTTAGAAGTAATTCTAAATAATTGCAGGGAACTCACTTCCAAGTAAGAGTACATAGATTAGACTGCAATCATATGTGATTGTCCTGTAGATGTTTATTTGACCTTTAGCAAAGAATAATCTTTTCTAAATATACATTTAAAATATTTAGTTTTTAGAGCAGTTTTTTTGGGGGGGAGGGGCAGGGGAGAAATAGAAGATATAGAAAATGAATCAAGCTGAACTAAATCCAAACTACTTCACAATAATTCAGCATCAATACAAATAGTCCTCGACTTACAACAATTTATTCAGTGACCGTTCGAAGTTACAATGGCACTGAAAAAAAGTGAATTATGACTGTTTTTCACACTTACGACTGTTGCAGAGTTCCCCTGTTGGTAACTGGTTCATATTTATGACGATTGCAATGGTCATATGAGCACGTTTTGTGACCTTCTGACAAGCAAATTCAATGGGAAGACAGATTCACTTAAGAACTTTGTTACTAATTTAACAATTGTGGTGATTCACTTAACAACTGGGACAGGAAAGGTTGCAAATAGGTGCAAAACTCACTTTAAAATGTCTCACTTAACAACAGAAATTTTGAGCTCAATTGTGGTTGTAAGTGGAGGACTATCTATGTTCATTTCAAAGTCTATCCTTTATTAGTCTTTAGGGCCAAAGAAACCCAGGTTCAAGTTAACCTCATCACAGAACCTCCCTGGATGATTTTGAATAGTCATTCTCAGCCCAGTATTCCTCACATAGTTTTGCTATTTACTCTGCCTTGAGCTTTTGGAAAAATAGAATATAAATATATAAAATAAATACAAATTATAAATAAAACCGCAATGATAATGTAGCTGAGAGTCTTATCCATTTCAGGCGATATAATATATTACTGCATCACTATACTCTTGTTAAGCAATCGATTAAAATTTATCATGGATTATTTCCTTTTTCCTTAGGAGCATCACTGCTTGCCCATCTCCCTTTAAGAAATTAAAATTAAATTAAAGTGACAAAGACAAGAGACACACATTTGGAGACACATACACATTCAGGTATAGATATAGATTTCCAAGCATAAATTTCCTTCTAGTATCAGATTTATATATATATAAAAAACACTTTTAAGATAATATTTGTCCTGGAATTCAAAGAATCCTTATGATATTCTAAAAGAAAGAAGTAAATAAATAGGCTGCAGAGTTTAGCATCCCAGCTTTAAAAAATCATTACATTTTAAAACCAAGTGAACTATGAACTAGAAAATCTGCAATTAAGAGGTAGCCTGACTAAAGGAGAGGGGAGACTGGTAATTCGGTAGCTGTATAAATTGAGCAAGTCACTATTATTAGCAGAGATAAGGGCAGCCTGAAATTCTTTCCTCAATAAGAGTGTTCTAAAAATAAACTGGCTTGCCACGCTTCAAAATAAAAATAGTTTGGCTTGCTCATTTTATGTCCCTATGCAAATTCAGAATGAACAGCAAATTTTTGACATAAATTACGCTTTGTAACATGCAAGATATATAGACCAGTATCTCTATTTTCCCTCTACTAGAACTATTCTATGTTGCATAAGGATCTTTCCAAGAAATGTAAAGAAATTTAAGAAATGGTCCAAATGATTACACAGAGGAAACCAGCAATTTACAACATCACCCAGACATTGCTGTGGTGATAAATTGCTAATGCAGACAGGTTACATACCATCATGGCAATGCCTGAGTGATGCTGTAAGTTAGTATTACAGAAACACACACAAAGGCCCAGTAAGAACTATCATTTATTTTCCATTTGTAAGAATTCAGGATAAAAAAAACACTATTTGATTACCTAGCTAGCCTGTCCTTGAAGTGCCAGAGAAGACTTGTATTAACCAGGCACAAAGAGTTTGCAGTGTCCTGAGAATTAACACAAATATTGCCGCATGTAATTTTGAATAAAATGATAAATTATGAAATTTGGACATCTTCAACGCTCTCCAACTATCTTTACTGATTTTGTTTACTCTTAATTTTATATCACTTTTGGACTTCATCTTTCATGTGTGTGCTCCTTATTGGCTGATATTCTAGAAAAACAGTATAATATTGAGAAAATATCAATAGGTATGTTGCATAGATATTTATGCACAGAAAAGGACATTTAGAAAAGACATTTCTTATCTTGGAAGTATATCCATTCACATTTCATTGTTCTTGTTAAAAGTGATAAAAAGTAAAGAGCAATATCTTTCTTTGTACATAGTCATATTTTTATAATTTTTCTTAAACTAAGTTCTCTGGATCCTATCAAACACTTGGTTTTAACACCCAAGCTATAAATCAGTACAACCACAATTTTATGTTCATGTACTTACTAACAATATGCATACAGGTTGCAAAATCCATAAGATTATTAGTTGACAATGAAGAATTATTTGCAGCTATCTAGTAAGTGATTAGGTTTCTGCACCCCGATATTGTAATTTTAATTAAGAATTACTTGTTTGGCACACATTAGCAATTGATGATGGTCATCTATACAGGTAATCCTCAATTTACGACCACAACTGAGCCCAACATTTTAATGGTGAGTGAGACTAAGAGTGAGTGAGAATAAGTGAGACGTTTATTCAGTGTGTTTTGCCTCGTTTTATGACTTTTCTTGCCACACTTGTTAAGTGAATCATTGCAGCTGATAGGTTAGTAACCTGGCTGTTAAGAGAATCTGGTTTCCACATTGACTTTGTTTGTCAGAAGGTTGCAAAAGGTGATCACACGACCTTGGGACACAGCTACGGCAGTGATGGATTGCTACCAGTTCGCGAGAAAGGATAGCAGTGGCAGCGGAAGGCTTCGCCCACCCGCCCGGACATCATCAAATATTATTTGTACATATGCAGAAGTGGTGCACGCATGAGTGGTGCAAGCAAGCGCATGCGCACGAGCGAACCGGTAGCAAAGGTAAGTGAAACCCACCACTGAGCTACGGGCATAAATATGAACCAGTTGCCAAGCATTTGAATTTTGATCACATGATCATGGGGACGCTGCAAAGGCCACAACTAAGAAAAACGGTCTTAAGTCACATTTTTCAGTGCCATTGTAACTTTGAATGGTCACTAAACAAACTGTTGGAAGTTGAGGACTTCCTGTATTCTGTAAAATACTTCTATTAATTTTTGAATATTTGGTTTCTATCCTTGAGAAGAGAGACTAAGAGTGGAGGGGGAAGATTAGGGCATTCTTTTCTAATAATTAAAACACTAATATTTAGCTAAATATGTTGGAAAATGATACAACAAAGATGCTAGTTATATACATATCTGAAATAAGCTATGTCTAAAAATAGCACAGATAACCCTGAGTGCAGTTAAATTAACCATGCATTTCTTGGTGTGTTAAGTGTAGCTTGAGATCCATCAAGGCCTCAGGCTATAAACTGGGAGACCATGAGTTCTAGTCTTATCTTAAGGCATAAAACCAGCTGGGTGACCTTGGCATAATTGCTTACTCTTAGCCAGTGGTGAAATCCAATTTTTTTTTACTACCGGTTCTGTGGGCGTGGTATGGCTTGGTGGGCGTGGCTTGGTGGGCGTGACAGGGGAAAGAAAGTGCAAAATCCCCATTCCCTCCCCACTTCTGGGGGAAGGATATTGCAAAATCTCCATTTCCACCCCATTTTAGGGCCAGCCAGAAGTGGTATCTGCCGGTTCTCTGCACTACTCAAAATTTCCGCTACTGGTTCTCCAGAACCTGTCAGAACCTGCTGGATTTCACCCCTGCTTTTAGCCCTTGGAAGGCGGCAATGGCAAACCAGTTTTGAAAACCTTGTCAAGAAAATTATGGAAATATGGCAGCTGAGAATTGGGCATGATTGAAAAGCAACTATAATCATCACCACTCATCCCCTTTTCACAAATGTTTAACTGAGATAGTCTGTTAATGATAATAATGCAGCAGATGTATATAGTTGTTTGCTATGTCAGATGTAATAATAATACGTAATTTATTAAACTTGTATGTCACCCAACTAGCAATGAGGTCTGAGCAACTTGCAATAAGCAAACCTCATTCATTTGTGTAGCCCCATCAGATGGTCTGATGATATTACTTCATGTATCTGTCATCTCTAGGAGCACTTATGGAAAAATATTCCACAGACATAACCAAGAATGAAGAGTCCCAGTTGTAAAATTTGATGACAAGACTAGGCTCTGCCCAACTCTAGGGTGATTATTTGTGTTTTATTCAGTGACCTTGATTAAAATAATTTTAAAAATACATTGGCTAACTCCAGCCAACAAAATAAACAAGGAATATGTATGTACATATTCCTACTGAGTAGTCCATTTATAAAAGAGATGTGTCTACAAAATCTTTTCTAATACATTAATCATTAATAATAAACAGCCTGCTTTGTAATCCATCATTTGCTTACAGTAAGCAACAGATACAGAGATATTATTGTTCACTCCTTTGGGACTTGTTAAGTCTACTTGAATGTCTTGTAGGATGAAGTCACAAGAGAGGGTATTATTTGTTGTGTAGTGTAACAGTGTAGGTTCCTAATATGGATGTTTCTAACTCTATAAATGTAAGCAATGGTTCAACATTTCCAAAAGGGTTGCATACATGTATACATGCATACATGTATACATATATGTATGCTATAAATAGCTGAATACTATAAAATTATGAACAGTGAAATGACAGTGTCTTCTTAAACAATTAAACTCAATTACTGTACTACAACTTTGAAAATTAAATTCTACTTAGTGTTGTGTTCTCTAAAATACACACAAAGGGCATTTCAATTTTGAAATGAGTTCAAATATTATTAAACCCAAATAAGTTTGTGTTAGAACATAATTCTAGAATTAGAAAGTCAAATTAGAACAACTAAATCTATCATTTGTAATGCATTGATCAATAAAGCAGCACTCCAAAGTATACTAATTTAGGAGTATGGCTTAGTGATCTCCCACCTCTCAGGAACGCTATAGGAATAAAATATATACTACCTAAAAGTTTGAGGAGAATAGCGTAGTTGATTAAAAGGTAAAACAAATGTGGCTGCAATCCTGTGTCAATTAACTGAGAATAGCTAATGGATCAAAACAGAATTCATTCTAGAACACAACATGATCAGTTCTGATTCTGAATAAACAAACATTGAATTCCCAACAGCAGTGTTAGGAAAGGCATTTCTTGAGGTAAAAGTTTTTCCATGGATTTATGGAAAATCAAACTGATCTGTGGGAGGCATTTTCTTCCCCAAAATCAGAAACACAACATTGTCACAATGTCTTATTTCTCAGTGAGAAATGCCTACTTAAATTGTTGCGGTACTGTTGGAGCAAAAAAAAAAAAACACCTTGCATTATTCATCATGCCCATTTGCTTCCATTATATCTCCCCCCCCTCCTCCCCAATGTCACACTTATTGTATAATCAACCTATAGAACTGTAGGTTGGGTCTTCCCTAAAAAAAAAAAAAGAACAAAATTCCCATTGAACTTGACTTCACCAGCGTCTTAATTCTCTGGATGAACTGATTTCAAGCCCGATCGTCCCCAGCCAGCAATTGCTATGCACTGGGGATGATGGAAGTCGTGCTGGGAGATCCACTCCGACCCGGTCCTTGGAAGGTTGTGCGTGTGTGTGTGTGCGTGTGAGAGAGAAAAGACTCGAGCACTTTAGCACACCCGGAGGAACAGGCAGGTTGCTACGCCGCCTCGCAACTCCCAGCCATGCCAAGCCCCGCAGGCCGCCTTTCCCCACCCTTCCCTTCCAACGCAGCCGCCACCGGAGAGACGGCGACCCTGCAGTGGCGACCCTGGAGGATGGAGAAGCGTGGGGGGGGGGGGGAGCCCCGATACTCGGCTGCCCGCTGGCTCCAATCTCGGGCGAGCGCTCCGGTTTGCTGCTGTCACGGACCGCCGCGCGCGAACCCGGTCCGCGGCGGGAAGCGACCCACCGCCCTTGCCGGCCTGCAACCCGGCGCCCCAGTCCTGCCTGCCCCGCCCCGTGCCCCGTACTCAGCTCTTGACTTTGCCGAAGGTGCCGACCCCCAGCGTGTCCCCCAGCACGTAGTGGCCGATCTTCACCCGCCCGTCGTGCTTCGGCGGCTGCTTCAGCTCAGCCATCTTCGCTTGGCTCGGCTCCGCTCTCTCCGCCGCCGCCGGTCCGGCCGAACCACAATGCAGCAGGGCCGGGAGGGGAGGCGAAACGGAGACAGGCGGCGGGATCGGAGGCAGCGACGAAGCGGGGAGGGGGGTGGGGGTGGACAGGTGAGTAAGGAGACGGGGGTGGGTGGGATGTCGGCGAAGGGAGTTGGCTCCGGAATATGGGTCCAAATAAGTAACTCACTCTTAAGGAACCGTCTCTAGTTTGGCGTGCGTTCGCCATAAACTCAACAGATTAATGACCGCGGTGCTATGATGCAGTGAGGAAAATAGGGTAGAGGAAAACGTGGTACACGGGGCATGGCACAGTAGTGGGTAGCAGTTAGTAACTTTATTATTTCTCCGAGTTAACGGCTGAGGAGAAATGGTGGTAGCGGTAGGACTACAATACCAAACATGAATGCAAAACTTCAGACGGTCACTGGATGGCAGCAAAGAGATTAAAGAAAGCTTTAAGACCTTTGCTGCCAACTATCTGTTGTCCGGATCGTTGCAGTTCACATTGACTAGTCCTTGTAAGGAATAAGTGTCGAAGGGCTAATGGTTTCCTTTTCTTATGTGCATGTATGAGACTTCTTGGGGGTAACATGAGGCATATTTTTTTAAGCACCATGAAGACACACATGATAGCAGATTACCGTGAAAGATCTCTGCAAGGTAGCATGCAAAAACTCAGAATAATGCCAAGAAGTATTTGAAGCTGGAAATCACACATCAGAATAAGATGATCACAGACTGAATGGATGACCTTCCAGGAGCTGAGCGACATATTAAGTGTTCATAGAATCACAGAGTTGGAAGGGGTAATTTAGCTTATCAAGTCTAATCCCTGGCTGGGCAAGGAATTCAAATTAAAGCATTCCTGACAGATGGCTTTATAGTCTTTTGTTTGAACATGGCGGGGGTCAGGGGAGCTCACTATCTCTCTGGGTAATTGGAATCTGCTGTAATTTCAGCAAAGTACCCTAGGACGCTTTGATTCACCTGTGGGTTTGATGAGATGACAGTTAAATGAATACGTAGCTCTCTCGAAAAGTCATATTGAAAAGGTGCTTATCAATGGCTCCCCACAAGACTGGAGGGAAGTATCAAGTGGGCTGCCAAAACATTCAAGAATAGAGGTTGGTGCCTCTTAATTCTTCAATATTTGTATTAATAAATTGGATAAAAAGATGGCGAAATCACTTTTCCAATTTGCATGGAGTAAGAAACAAAATTGGACGGGACAGTTAATATCTTGGAAGAGTGAAACATTTCTATGCGGAAGATTTGATGGGATAGGCTACGTATTTCTTAAATGATTTCTTTAATGTCATGGATATTATTCCCGCTGATGATCCTAAAAAGAAATAGCTGTTAAATACATAATAAAGAAATAATGTTAATAGTAACTTTTGTTTATATTTCCGTTGAAATGAACTGCTTATGCATTTTTACCATATACCATATATTACTTGCTTGTAAGAGAACAAAACATAAAGTGCATTAATGTATATAATTAAAATCTTTGTAAGAAACTGAAGCTTTTCAGTTTTTCTTATACCCAGGCAGATACAGCCTAGGCATTTTTACTCCTTCGCTTGAATGACAGTCCTAAAATCATGTTTCTAGGTTAATGATGGATATCTTGTACTCTGTATTAATTATATGACTTCATGAGCATAGCCAAACCAACTAGAAATCAAGTGACAAATAGCTGGCAAATCAACTACAGGTAGTCCTTAACTTATATTCATTCATTCAGCGACCATTCAAAGTTATGGTAGACATGAAAAATGGGATTATGCCTGGTCCTCGAAATTTCAGCTACTCCTCCATGGTCACAAAGTCAAGATCTGGACACTCAGGTGACAGTCATGATTATGATGTCACAACAAGCTGCAGTCATGGGATCACCATTTGTGACTATCCTTCCGACTTCTCACAAGCAAAGTCATTGGAGAAGCTGGCAGGGAATGTCACAATTTGCTCCACTCAGTCTGCCCTGCCTGCCCACCTGCCTTCCGTAAGCATGCCAGCCAGCAGCAGCAGCTTCCCTGACCAATGCACACAGCCTCTCCTATTCTCACCCTGAAGATAACTTTTTCCAGTCATGTTTTGTGGGGTTACATCATCCCCAGATTTAATAATAATAATAGTACCCCAATGAGGGGTAGCTGCTAAAGCTCAGTATGAGTCGGCTAGATGTGTTGGCATGCACTATGGTGTGGGTGTGGTGTGCTGTGACCAGGCCATGATACAGAATATACGAGATCTCATCATCTGTAGCCAGGTCAAAGAAAAAGCAGCAGTGACTTACAGAAGCAACTTGCAACTTTCCTTATCAGCTTACCGGTTGACTTTGCTTCTGGAAAGCTGGCAAGGAGGTCACAAATGGAAATCATGTAATAGAGGCTGTAACCACTGTAACTGAGCCAGGTGCAAAGCACCTGGATCACCATCATGTGACTATGGGCTTGCTGGGATCATAACTTCAAGAATTGATTGTAAATATCATTTGTTCAGCCCTGTTAACGTTCTGAACAGTTGCTAAATGGTCATTAACCAAGGCTGCCTGTAAAAAGTACGGATTTGATCCTGATGTCAAAAAAGTTCCAGAATGACACGTAAAAACGTTAAATGATTCCCAAATTCAAATACATTGATATCTAGAACACAATACCCAGGACATTATGTAGTTGAAGAAAAATAAGTTTTACTTATAGTACAACAATACCAAATAACACAGAGTAGCTCAAAAGGAACTGGAAAAGCATTAAAATTTAACAATTTAAATTATGGAATAAAGCAGCACACTTTTTCCAATATTTATTGGAGCATTAGGAGCTGTTACAATAGAATTGCCAAAACAGCTGACAAAATTAGAATTATTTGACCTCACAACATTTATAAAAAATTAGTTTTGCTTGGAATTTTATATTACGGTGCTTGGTATTTGAACAATTCTTATCCTTTGGGACAATGCTTGAAGCTGGCAAATTTTCAGTGTTTGCCAACTATTCTTCGGAAGAGTAATAATACTTTCTCAGAAACAATTAATCTAAGACATTTATCACAGGAAAAAAAGGATTGGGAAGAAATGTTTGGGAGAGCAATCTCAGGTTAACATTATTAACTTGTGGACAGATTGACTCAGTTATGATGGCAATGAGTACACCATTGGAAGACCTGAAAGACCAGATTAGGAATCAACCCTTGTAGCTAATCGTAGCATAAAACCCAACCCACATTTTGCTATTGTTTCTAGCAGAAACTCACAGGACAAACCGTATTTTTTGGAGTATAAGACGCACCTTAGTTTTTGGACAGGAAAATAAGAAAAAGGGGGATTGGCCTCCTGGAATACCCCCAATCAGTTGTTCCCAGAGGTGAATTTTAGCAACAGGTTCCTTGGTTGTGAGCCCTGTGCCTTGCTTTTTTTTTTTTTTTTTTTTGCTTTTTTTTTTCTGTTTCAAAAAAAAAACTTTTTTCTTGCCTCTGAAAGCCTCCAAAACTCTGGGGGCTTCTTTTCTGAAGCTCGGGGGGCTTCTTTTCTGAAGCACTGTTTGGGGGCTTCTTTTCTGAAACTTCGTTTCCGATGCTTTTTTCAGCCTCTGAAACGTCTGTTTGAGAAGCTGGGCGGGGCTATATTTGGAGTATAAGACGCACCCAGATTTTCACCCTCTTTTGGGGGGAAAAGATGCATTTTATACTCCGAAAAATACAGTATGTTGAATTCTTTGCTGAAGTCATGTGTGGCCACATTCCTGCAATCACCTAAACTGGCCGTTGTATCAAAAAGAGGAGATATGATTGGTTTGGCATGATATATCCAAACATACTAATTCTTCGAGCAGTGCATTCTTTTGTAAATAAGAATAGTCACAAGCACAGTGCTTAATTTGTTTCAGAAGTTTGCCCATTACCAACATCAATACATATATCCATACCATGCTTGATTCCTGATGGTCTATCTACAGTATATGCTTACTAGGAGTTGACATGATAACAGTATTACAGTATTTGAGAGGCTGCCATAAAGAAGAGGAGGTCAACTTATTTTCCAAAGCACCAGAAGGCAAGACAAGAAATAATGGATAGAAAATAATCAAGGAAAGAAGCAACCTTTTAGGTTCTATTTAATTGGGCCAAACTATGTTATAAAAATAATTTTAATTAGCAATTTTATGATTTTGTGTATCTATATTTTTCTTGACTGTACACCGCCTTGAGTCCTACGGGAGAAAGGCGGTATAGAAATGTAATAAATAAATAAATAAATAAATAAACAAACCTGGACTTAAGGAGAACCTTCCTAATGAGAATCATTAACCAGTGGAACAGCTTGCCTTCAGAAGTCGTGGATGCTTCGTCACTGGAGATTTTTAACAAGAGACTGGGCAGCCACTTATCACAAATTGTATAGGGTCTCCTGCTTGAGAACTAAAAGACCACCAGCTCTATTCTGATTGATTGAGTTGAAAATGGCTTGATGCCCCACAATCAACCAAAAATCAATTTGTGTAATGGCTAACTGGATATAGAATACAGAAGCAGTAGGAACTTGATGGAAGAAGCCAACGGTAATGTTTCTTGTTGCCTTCCTGTGTTGCATCCTACTTTATTAGTTGCTTCTTAAGAGCAGTCAATAGAAGATCCTGGAAGAATTCGTGCTCCTGTACAACTAAGCGAATGGCACTCTTTTCCACTCTTATGTTTAATATTATTTGTTTTTACACGGATAAACAAATCAGGCATCGTCTAGATGCTTTACCTTTGCATTCCTTGACCTGAACATATTAGAGGGAGCAGATGGGAAGTTGTTGCCTAAGGAATTTGGAGGGCACCAGGTTGTCTACTTGTGTATTAAACTGCAAGATAAGAAGTGTTCAGCAAAGAATCTGGAGTCAAAAACTATCAATCTGATATAGGCAATAGGCAAAAGTGTGGTCAAGGTCTGCTCCGTGAATTAAGACACAGAGCTCAAGGTCAGCAAGTAATCCCAGTAGCAATCACGTATTCTTGAATAGATTGCTTTGGTGGAAGACACTGTTCCAAACAAGCATACTTTTACTTCCTTGCC